CACATCCCTGTTGGCTATGTGTATGTCTTCTTTTGAAAAAAATGTCTCTTCATTTAAAAATCAGATTATTTTATTGCTATTGAATTGTAAGGATTCTTTATATATTTTGGATCATTGGACCGGAGTTTTAGCAGGGACCATTTTCTCAGAAACTTCATCCACTGTCCCCTGCAGACACCAGACTCAGGGCCTGGTGTAAAGTTCCTTGGTAAAAGATGAGGCTTGTGTCTGAATCTGGGCTTATGCCTCCCTCTTTTTTCTTTTTATTCTTCCACTTTTTAACAGTTTAGTGGCATTAAGTACCCTCCATTGTACATACAGCCCCAACATCAATCTCCAGGACTCTTGATCGTGCAAGACTGAAACTTTGTGCCCATTAAACCCTAAATTCCCTACTCTCCTTACCCCCAGCCGCTGGCAATCTCATTTTTCTGTCTCTATAAATTTGACTATTCTAGGTGCTTTATAGAAGTGGAATCATACAATATCTGTCCAGCTTATGTCACTTATTATAATGTCCTCAAGTTTCATCCATGTGTGGCAGGCGTCAGAATTGCCTTCCTTTTTAAGGCTGAATGATAGTCCACTGTGCGGATGGACCACGTGTTTGTCCACTCATCCACTGATGGGCACTTGGCCTGATTCCATCCTGGGCTGTTGCAAACACCAGCTTGCTTTCTTAGCTATGAACATGGGTACAAGAGAAATATCTCTTAAATACTTTGTCACAAATATTTTTTGATTCTGCAAAAATTAGGACTTAACAAGGTGATTGATTAATTTCTACTATAGAAATCTGAGCCTATCAGAAGGGCCCGAGAAAGGGAACGGGCAAATTGGGAAGGCGGTGGGGGGTGGGGTGGGGTGGGGGGGTGCATGGAAGGGTGAAGGAGATAACTGGACTTTTAGTCACCAAGTTATATGCCCATGTTAATTCTCAACAATGCACACCTGGAACGTCCCTCCTGCTGCCAAGTGACGTGACTCCAATTAAAAACAACAGCAAAGAGTTCTCACCATCCCCCCAGCCCCCACACAAAGCAGCACGAGGAAACTTTTGGAGATGAGGTATATGTTTAGCGCCTTGAGTGGGGTGGTGATGTCATGGGTTATTACAAATGTGTCCAGAGGCCTCCCTGGTGGCGCAGGGGTTAAAGTCTCAGCTCTATTAAGTTATCGCCAGCCACTGCAGCATGAGTTTGATCCCCGTCCAAGGAGCTACCCACATGGCGCAGCAGACCTCTCCTGTCTCGCCCGCTGCTCCCCTCAGCAGTGGATTTCAGTCAGTCTGCCTGTTCAGTTCCCCACTCTGTCTCTGGTGAATCCTCTCACCCCCTACACCTCTGGCCTGCACCCCAGCTCTTGTATGCATAAATAAATAAAAATGAATCTTAAAAAAATACAATTGTGACCAACACATAACAGACATATGTCAAATGCACCTAATTAGAAACACTCAATGTGCAGGTTTATTGTATATTAACTATACCTCAATAAAATGTAAAAAAAGAAAAATGAGACTAAGTCAGGAGAATCTGGAACATTGCCGAGCTCTTAAGAGTGGGGGGTGTGGGATACCCAAGAGGGAGGACAGAAAGGTGAAGTGAGAGGAGAGGATGAAGCCAGCGAAGGGCAAGCCCTGGTGTTTTGCAGCCATCCCAGGCGGTGGTGGGGAGGGGGTGTGGGAAGTGTGTGTGGGGGTGTTGAGGGGTCATCCTTAGTTCTGCAGGGAAAAAGATTATTTTGGAGCCTTTGGTAGATTTTCACAGGCCCTACTGCTGAGCTGGGACAGACCCGCTTTCTCTCCTAGTATTTCTCAGGCAGTCTGCTCCTGTGTAGTCCCGGCCCTGAGTGACGCCGCCCGATGGCCCCTCGCCCCGCGGCTCAGGTGTCCCCTTCTACACACCAGCACGCCCGTGCTCTCCGGGCGCATGCGTCCATAATTAAGGTGTGTGTGCAAGACCACCTGGTCCCGGACGCTCATATACATTTTTATTTTATGTGTTGTTTACATCCTTTTTCATTTTTGCACAATGCATGCATTTTCATCTTGGTTATAGTCCCCATACAGTTCCCACCCCCTTATTTTGACCCTAATTCCTCTTCCCCCTCCTCCCCAGTGTCTCTGGTTCATAGTTGCTTGTTGATTTTGATTTTCACTTCATTATAATTAGTCTTTTTCCTGGTCCCTTATTTAAGTTTTCTAGATTCCTGCTATGAGTGAGACCATCCGGGATTTTTCTTTTTCTTTCTGGCTTATTTCGCTGAGCATGATCCCTTCCCTCGCCATCCATGTTGCTGCAAATTGCATGTGTTTATCTTTTTTGAATGCTGAGTAATATTCCATGGTGTATATGGACCACATCTTCTTGATCCAGTCATCTATTTTTGGGCATTTGGGTTGTTTCCAAAGCTTAGCTATTGTAAACAGTGCTGCTATAAACATAGGGGTGCAGGTGTTCTTTGGAATGAATGTTTCTGTGTCCTTTGGGTAAATACCTAGGAGTGGGATTGCTGGATCCTATGGAAGCTCCATCTTTAGCAGCTTGAGGAATCTCCACACAGCTCTCCACAGTGGTTGGGCCAGTTTGCACTCCCACCAGCAGTGCAGGAGAGTTCCTGGGAAAAGGGTGATTTTGAACTCATTTGCCCCACGCCTGGGCAGAAGGCCCTCCTGGGAGGTGCGCAGGCAGCAGCAGAACCCAGCGAGAGGCGACGGCTTTATGGGAGGCCCGTGGTGACTGGGCCACCTTGGGCAGGTCCGTGACGGTCTCTGAATCCTGGACTCCCCTTCTGTCAACTGGCGATCGTTTCTTCCAGGTCCGGCTCATGGGGCCGTGGGAAGGGTCGAGTGTTAGCGTGTGAGAGAGAGGGCACTGTCCTCTATCAAGTACTTTTTAAGAGTCTGGATTCTGCTAAAGTCAGGACAACAGCCGGAGAGCATAGAATATGTTAAAAAGAAAAAATAAAGAAAAAAGAATGTTCCAGGAGAAGCTTAGAGACAGTGTAGGGTGTCCGAGAGGGTAAATTGTATGGCATCAAGAACAGCCTAAGAGTTTATCTTGCTTCATCCACTGTTCATCCCTAAACCCCTGGATCCGATTCCCCCTGACCAGTTTCCCTCCACCCCACACCCAGGGAGAAAAAACTGCTCCCTCCTCCGCACTTGCCTCCATTTGCATGCTGATAACTTTACCTTTTGGTTGTTTTCCCCCCTTTAATTTTTTTTTATTGTGGTAAAATACACATCACTAAAACTGGCCACTGTAGTTATGCAATTTAGAGGCATTAAGTACATTTGTGCAGTTGGACAAATCTCCCCACTGTCCATCTTTCAAAACTGGATCTCTGTCCCCACTAAACTGTAACCTCCACCCTCCGCAGCCTTGCAAACCCCCAGCTACGCCTTCAGAATGTCTTTTCTCTTTAAAGCCAGTAATATTTCACCGTGTGGATGGCCCACCGGGTGGCTTCCACGTTTTGACTGCTGTGAACAATTCTGCTGAGAACCCGGGTGTGCAAATGCCTCCTGGAGTCCCTGTTTTCAATGCTCTGGTGAATACCCAGAAGTGGACTTGCTGGATCATGTGATCATTGTATATTTAATTTTTTGAGGAACCAGCACTGTTTTCCATAGCAGCTGCCATTTTATGTTGCCAGCAGCGCAGACTTCCCAGTTTCTCCACATTCTTGACACTTAAAAAATCCTGATGGGTTAAAGTGGTTGATTACCATATCTGTTTCTACCATAACTGTTACACTATCAGTTCTTCAAAAAAACAAAAACAAAAACAAAACCACTCTGAATATTTGTTTGATGTGTTCTAATGGAATCAAAGACCTGAGTGGAATAAATATTTCCCTAAGGGTGTTGGTGTAAATATTCGAGATTCCCTAAAGCCTCTCCCAGCAGTGGTGAAAATTAGGTTTTCAGTCATGTTTGAGTTTTCCAGAAAGAACTAAACAGGCTGAAAAGGGGCCGCTCCCGGGATTCAGAAGAGGGTATGGCGCGCCCCCCTGTGGTCTTTCTCTGCCAGTGTCACTGTGAAAGAAGCTGGCAGAGAAAGTCACACTATGGATCTGAAATTCCAGTGACGACAATCAGGGGCCAGTCAAGTGCCTACTGCATAAGGGAAAATGGGAAAAACCTAGTGCGTGAAGCTGGGATTCTTTGAGGAGTCCTCAATCTAGAAGGGGTGGGAGAGAGAGATCGATCTCTCTCTGCATGTGCGTGCATGTGTGAGCATGTGTGTGTGTTTGCACAGGCACTAAAGAAAGACGGTGTGAGAGCGACCCAAGGTGGGAGCTCTCCCCAGACACCAGTCCTGCTGCCCCCCGGCCTTGGGACTTCCAGTTCCCCGAACTGTGGGGCAACACATCCTGTTGTTTAAGGCCTTTCTGCTCCCCCAGTCTGCAGTGTTTCTTCATGGCGGCCTGAGCGGACCAACAAGGTGTGCGCCCACTTTGAGTATGTGGTGACCCAGGTTGGGCAGGGCCACACAAGCAGCCGTCTGTGGCGGGTCGATTCCAAGATGGCCATCGTAATATTTCTCAGCTTCCAAGTTCTAGAACCTGGAAGCCTCCATATTCCTTCTGCTTGAAATTTGACCAGCCTCTGGGTCTGCGGGGCGATCAAGGACACCACCAGACTTCCCAGGTTGAGCCATAAACTGTGACTTAGATTTCACCGGGTTCTCTCCTGGTTGCTTGTTCTTAGAACCCAGCCGCTCTGTGGAGGGGACACGGAGGGGCTGCTCTTGGGTGAGCCTTCCTTCCCTGGCACGTCCTTACCTGAAAAGGCCCAGGTTTATTCCAGAAAGAGCTGGGGATGCTCTCCGGAACGGCCTATTCAGACAGCCGCCCACCAGCTATCTGGCTCCTGACAGGGGCTCACTGGGACAAGGGTGGGGGAATCCTGCACTGTAGGTCACCCCAGCCTGCACCGTTACCCCTGGCTCTGGGGCGCTGGCCGTGAGGACCCACCCCTGGAAGAGGGAACTTCCCCACAGCCACCGTGCCCACGGGAGGAACATAGGGCTCTCTCAGGTGTTTTCTCTCCTCTCAGAGCCAGCTTTGGCTTTCGCCAGTGTGGTGCAAACGTATTTTCCAGGTTTGTCACTATGGCAACAAAACCATTGCGCCCCGGGCCATCCCAGCAGCCACCGCTGTAAATCACTCCCAGAAATGTGATCACACCGCGTAGTAGAAGGCCTTCCACAGGACACGATGGGCATGTTTGTTTTGCTATCACTCAGCTTTACTTAAATAAATAAGCTTCCAGGAATAGTAACTTCTGGGACCTGGAGGTGGTTCCAGGAGGAGGTGGTTCAGTGTGGAATGTGTGACTAATGTTTCTGCAGCTAAGTAACACTCTCTGTTTTCCACTCTTTCGAGTCCATTCACGCTGTCTGCGTGTCCAGTCCCCATGGCGCTGGTGACTCCTCATTGTGCTGTCCCCCCGCCCCGCCCCCGGACCCCTGAGGCTTCTTCCTTCCAGATGAATGTGACCAGAGGGAAGGGCTGTCGGAGTGTCCAGGGGTGGGGAGAAAGGGCAGGTCTTGTCCCTCTTCCTCCCTCGGGTTCCAGAGTGGCCGCACTGTCCCCCACGTGAGGGCACCGTCCCGTCTGGTCCCTCTCCCCGGCGACAGCCCTCACGGGGTCCAGCACCAACATGCTCTTTCCCTTTGCTTCTTCAGGCCATGGAGGAGGAAGACTTCCGCTGTTGCCACTTCCCGGGTGCTTCACCCAGATTCTGCCAACTCTCCCAGAGTGTGTGTCATGGCCTGGGTGTGTCCCCCAAATTCCTCTGCAGTCCTAACCCCTGGGACCTCGGCATGCAGTTGTATTTGGAGACATGGCTTCAAAGAGGTCCCTGAGGTCCAGTGGGGCCAGTTGGTGGACGCTGCCCCAGTGCAGCTGGTTCACACCTTTATCTTGGCCTTCCAGATGGAACCGTGAGAAATACACCCCAGCTGCGGGATTTCTGTGCGGCAGCCCGGATGCACTAAGCCAGCAGGGCTGTGAGGACGCACCCTTGAGGCCAAGACCCAGCGGAGAGCGGCCCCCCCAGGGCCGCAGGGGTGCTAGCGAGTGTCCCTCCACCCACCCGCAGTGTCGGTCACTGCAACCTACCTAAGACTGTGGACACGGTCGCATTTATGGCATGAATACCACTCGTAAAACACGGCAGTTCTTGGGCACAGCAGGGACTGGGACAAAAGTCTCAGCAGAGGAACCTCAGGGCAGCCGAGCGTCCGCCGGCTCAGCAGGTCCTCTCACAGGCTTACACCAGCTTCGGCTCTGGGGCCTGGGTGGAGAGTGACTGAAGCCCAGGGGGTCTCTGCAGATGCTGGTGGAGAATCCTCCCCGCTGCTGCTGAGGCAGGGCGCCCTGCCAGCTGACCCGGATGCCAGGAGAGACGGGCCCGAACTTTTAGAAGGGGCTGGGGCTCTGCACTTAAGGATGTCTAGGGAGGAAAAAGATGCTATTAGTGTGAGTGTCGTTCAAACATCAGAGGAAGCTGCTGCATTCAACATTTTCACGATACAAAACAATTTTATAAAATCATAGGGCCGGATGGGATTTATTAAGTCTTCCCAATTACCCCTCCCTGCCCCGCCCCGTGCCCCCCATGCAATCTTCACCTTGAGCTACTAATAATAAGTTCCTTAATCTCCAAAGTGCTTTCACAACCATCATTTTATTGGAACCTCAAGAAAAGCCTTTGAGGCAGGGAGGGGGATATCAACATCTCCGTTTTGCAAACTGGAAACAAAGCAGAGGCACTTTGATGCCAGGCCAAATTCACGAGCGAAAAGCAGTTCAAGTTTGCTCGGGGACTGGAGATTCTGGGGCCGGAGGGCTGGGGCTGCCGGACTGTGCATGCACACATTTCCCCCGGGAGGGCCGAGGGGTGGGCTGACGGATGTTCCAGACAAACTCACAGCGAGAAAGGATTTCTCCTCGACGGCTGAGCGTGAGCAGGAGAGGGAGAGGAGAGAATGGAGACAGCAAGAGAAAGAAACAACAGCGGTTGAGCCGGGCCAGGGAGGGAGATCGAAGTTAACCCTCACCTTGACCCCGCTCGTGTGACGGGAGACCTGAGATTCTGGGCTGGTCCTGCAGATGCCGTGACCTTGCCCTGAACCGCCTCCCCCATGACTCCAGGCCTCGCTGGCAAGTCCCGACAGTCAGATCTGGGTGACAGCCCCCCCCCCCGGGCTCCCCGTATCCAGATTTTTGTCAGCCAGTGACTGTGGCCCGGGGGCCTCTTCTCCGGCTAACAGGGTCTCAGGAATCTCCAAGGATGACCCTTAACACTGAGCATGTGCTCCCGGCACTGGCCTTGGCGTCTGGACAGAATGATTTGTCTCCTGCTGAGGCCACATGGTCCCAGAGGGCAGAGCTGGAATCTGACCCCCCAGAGGCCTCTGGGCGCCTGCCCACTGCCCTTCCTGACATGGTGATTTTTCTGGGGTGCGGGGAGAGTAGGCAAAACTGGGGTTAAATGGAGCCAGCAGTTGTCATCTAAGAGCAAAGGGAAAAATGGGGGCACCAAACCTCCCCTCTGGGAGGTTTTCGGGTGCAGCAGAGGAAGCATCTTCAGGGTTCTAAGACAGGTAAAGGTAAGAGAACAAACGGGAGCTTCCCTTTGTGCTATTTTAGTAACAAAGAAAATAAAATAATAGCTGTTGGATGAAGAAAAAGCCTCTTTCTCTGTGATACAAGAATGGGCGAGTCTCATCTCACCTGTAACAGTTTCCAATTTAATCCTGTTACTGTGCAAAGCTGATCTGTCAGCAGGCGGGGCCCCTGCTCCCCACAGCCCCGGGGCGGCCCAGGCCCGGGCAGGCCCCTCTCCAGCCCTCTCTTCTGGCTGTGGCAGCTCCCAGGGGCCCCCACCCGTCTCTTTGCTTCGTGGAAATCCTCAGCATCTAGGCTGTTGGGCTTCTTCCCAAGCCAGTTTCGGGGAGGTGGTCTCCCCACACCCACCCTTCCTCCTGGCCCCTGAACACAAGTTTGCTTGTAGACCCTCTTCATTTTTAAGACTCTACATCCATCATTAGAAGAGCAGAGACAAGGCTTAAGGGGGAAATGTGGGGAACTTATATAAGTGTACCCCCCCACCCCCCACTGTCCCCACCTTAACCTGGAGCAGCTGGCAACCTGCTTCTCATTTCTGGAAATTTCTTTTATACCAACGCTGAGCTTCATCCGTCTCCTTCCTGCTCATTCTGACCGCTGGCTTATTGTGATCCCCTCCTCCCTTTCATTCCCCCAGAAAGCCCCTTCCCAGCTCGCAGAGTAACCCCAGGGGCCCTCTCAGCAGCCCGGCTGACAGCTCTGGCCTCTCCCCTTCGCGCAGCACCGCAGGGCTGGCCCAGGCGTATTTGCTTCTGTCCTGCCCGGGAGTCTCGTCAGACATCGCCCTCCCTGCAGCGCCTCTTTCTCTTGTAAATCATTGCTCATCTCGAATAGGCCACTTTTCTACACACTGCAGAACTGGAAAGGCGTCAAGGGGACAGAGACAAATCTTTCCCCCAGCTCAATGCCGGCGCCCCTGCCCCTCCCCAGCCTCACCCTGGGGTGTGTGTCCTTCCCCAGAGATTTTACACGAGTGTGAGCAGATGCACACGCAATGCAACACATCCCCCCTCCTTTTCTCACACCGCTGGCATTGTACTGTAAACAGTTACTTTAGTTCACTGTACCTGAGAGCGTGCGTGTGTGTGTGTGCGCGCGTGTGTGTGTGTGTGTGCGTGTGTGTGTGTGTGTGGTTGCTGCAGATCAATACTTGAAGAGCCACCTCAGTCTTTCAATGGTTGAAATGTACAAGAGGCCATGACAGATGACCAGACCCACAGGCAGGTGAGCTGCTTGCAGTCTTCTGCTCTTTGAAACAATGCTGATGCAGAGGACCCCCCCCACCCGGCCCCCCGCCTCTGCTCTGCTCGTCTGCTTGCGGATGGGCCAATGGCACAGATATGCCACTGCAGGGTAAGTGAATTAATCAGGCTTTTTACGCCGTGAGCCTCTGTGGCTGTCACCTGCGACCTCGATCGTGTTAATGCAGAAGGCGCTCGGGAGCGTGGGTGCAGGGCACGCGTGCCTGACTGTGGAAACCTGGAGTAGGGGTGTGCACGCATGTGTAAGTGTGAGCACCTGAGCCTAGAGGCAGGATAAAAGCAGAGGACAATCCGTGTATTACAGAAGAGGGGAGATCAGGCCTCCATGGTGGCACAAGGGTTTAAGACACAACTTATGAAGCTGTCCGCAGCCACTGCAGCATGAGTTCAATCCCCAGCCAGCCAGGGAGCTACCCACATGGTGCAGCAGACCTCTTTGGACGTGCCCGCTGCTCCCCTCAGCAGTGTATTTCAGTAGATCCACCTGTTCTGTTCCCTACTCTGTCTCTGGTGAATCCTCTCACCCCCCCGTACCTCTGGCCTGTACCCCAGCTCTTGTATGCATCAATAAATATATCTTAAAAAAAAAAAAAGGTCAGCTTACCAGGCGATGCCAGAGAGAGCCCAGAGAAAGCAAAGATTCGTGGGGGGCTGGGAGGCTCGTTGCCTGCCACTTTCCAGCCCCCCTGCCTGGCCCGTGCCTGCCTGCCTGTGTGCCCGTGTGCCCGCCCGGTTCCCTGGGAGAGCAGGAAAGCCTGGAAAATCCCCTGAGGGCTCCGGGACTCTCCTTTATGATCTGCCCAAATAGATGGTGAACCCTTCCTGTGCCTGCTGGCACTAGAGCCACCAGCCAGCATTCCTGGTTCCTGACAGGACTATGAAGTGTATTCCTTCCCTTTGCCTGTTCTTATGAAGAGGGGCGGGACCTGGTAATTTAAAAATATGTATTTCTTATTGGTTGCACCCACATTCTGTTTCTAGAGCTCTTTACCTCCCCCCATCTCTACATGTTGTTATGTTTTTTGTAGAAATTTGCAATCATTGCAAATTGTTGGACGAACACCTATTGGATCACCTCTTGGCTCAGTGAACACCCATTGGATCAGCCCATGGGCCACTGAAGAGACTCGATTAGGTAGAGAAGTAGAGGCTGCAGAAAGCAGACAGGCGCAAGACCATATGCAGAGTGCCAGTCCCTCTTGCAGAAACACCACCCCGAGCACTGAGCTAGGAGTCAGAAGTTTATTATTTCCTTTAATCTTCCCGAGTCTGTGATGTGGCTCAGGAGGCTGCAGGGGGTGAAATCTTCAGTTCATGGGAAACCTACTCTTTTTTCTAATCTATTCTCAAATTTTATGACTGTGACTCCCAGTCCAGGAGTGGTGTGGTGAGGCCGTGTACAGATGTGGATTATTGTCTTTGAAAATCCTAGAATTGGAGGTTTTGTTTTAGTCATATAAACACAGCTTCAGCGCACTCGCCAACTGCCCAAGCCTGGCCTGGGGCTGAATGAGGAGGGCTGTGGGGCAGGGAAGGCTCAGATTAGGGAGTGGGTGACTGAGGATGCTTGGGAGGAGGGTCTAAGCCCAGGTAAAGTCTCGTCCTGGCTTCAGTAAGCTGCACAGACGCTTCACCTTCAGAAGGGACCTGTTCCATGAACGGCCCATCTGAGAGTTCTGTGAGGAGGAGCCCTGCCCTCCTGCTGCCCCAAAGGCCGCTGGGACCTAGTCATGGGCTGGAGGGGTCTGGTCCACACCTATGGAGAGGGGGTTCCCTTCTTGCTTGCTCTGCTCTGGGAGAAACAGAGGTGACTGTAAGGGAGGAAAAATCGACACAGTTTGAAAGAAGCTGTGCTGGGCTTATTTCAGTACAAGGGTGACGCTGCCCCCTGCCATGGGAGGCTCAGCAACTTTACCCAAGGTTTTCAGATTTAATTCTGCAACTGCGTGGCTGCACCATCCAGCCTTCCGAGCAGGGGAGATGAGGTAAGGATGTGCTGCAAAACAGGCCAGAATGTTCTAAAGGTTGGTTGTTGCTAATGCTCACGAGCTCATATTCAAAACACAATATCTTAGGAATGTGGCTTCTAGTGTGGGAGACTTCATGCTATCCACATCCACACTGGCACATTGTAAACTCAGGAGAGCAGTGATTAAACATTTTTCATAACAGATATGTATGTAACCAGTATTATATAACTCATAAACACCATTCTTCTAGTAGATTCTAAAGTCATCTTATGCCCAGGATTTTCAGCATAGCTGTCAAACAAAAACATGCAGCTCTCGGGGGTGACAATGGACAGTGGTGGAAGATTAGGGGGCTTTGTGTGGTGGGTGAGGTGGGATTACATGCATTTGAAGAGGTGTGAGCCTGAACTTCTAAAACACATACAGTGTTGTGAATCAAGTCACCTCAGTAAGCCCCAGTCTAAACACTCGGTGCAAGAGACACGCAGGCTGATTCCTGCTGGAAATGCCAGGGAAACTTAGTATGCCTCGCACGGACAAGAGGCAACAAGACAGAACAAGAAAGAGCCGCTCTTTCGGAGGCAAAGGAGAAATGCAGACTCCAGGTTGGGGTCCCTCTAGAGAGTTCATTTTGCCCCCAGGAATCTCCGCCATCAGGCCGCTCTTCTCTTAGGTTTCAAGAATTACTAAGCCAAATTGTAGCGAGCAGGCGTGGGGCGCTCACAGCACAGACGTCACCAAGGGCAGCACACACCCCTCCGCGCAGGCTGGCAGCAGGGCCCGGGGCAGGCGCCGCGCAGCCCAGGGCGGGCACACACGTGCTGGCACGAGAGGCCGCTGCACCGACTGGGATTGGTAATTGCATTGGTTGTAATTAATGACACATTATTAAGGAAAGGAGGGAGGCAGGAAATAGCCGTTATTGGTTTATAATTAGGACTGAGAACAGGATGGGTTCTTTTCCTGTTCCAGGTGAAGTCCCTCGGGCACAGCCTTATCTCTCGGGCGTGAAGAAGGAAAGGGACCTGCAGGGGGGAGCGACGGTGTGTGAGAATCTACACGTTAGCCCGGAGCGGAGCTTAAGGACACTGTCATGCAGACTTATTTTGTCAATGGCAAGATGAATACTCACAGGGGCACGGAGGGACTGGCTTGTTAATGGAACCTGGGTTTCCTGGTGCTTTTCATGCTATGCATCATGGACACTTTAGCTCGATGGAGTAGACAGGTTGCCCCCGCTATCCAAAACGGGGACACTCCTATTTAGTACAAGTTGGTATCCGGAGCTTATTTGGGGGTGTTGAAGAATGGTTAAAAATTTTCCATATAAATTTCCAGAACCAAAAAATAATTCACCAAATCAAACCTAGTTTTGAGTGGCGGGGGAAACCTGTGTATTCCTTTTCCCTCTTCTTTTGACCTAGAGAGGGGAAAAGAGCCAGAAAAGGTGAAGAAGCACTTAAAAAATCAGGACACCAGGGGGGAGTCATCCTAGAACGAGGAGAAGAGAGCTACAGAGGCTGGAGTGAGCAGAGCACTGGGGCAGAGAAGGTCTTATCGGAAGCTCTTAGAACAGGCCAGCAAAGGCCTTGGCGCCTGTACTGCAGGGTCTGCTCTGAACAGCAAGCTTTCTGAAGTCTGTGGCCATTGCAGAACCTGGAAAGTGAGGATTTCCAACCTCCAAGTGAAAGTTCAGTGTTAGACCAAATCATTTATTTTTATACTTGGTAGGAAAATATAATAAGAAAAAAAATGACACAAAATGTCCACTGGGGTCCTCTTACCCGAGCCAAGGGTGGGAGACCCGCTGGGGTTTGTTTACTCTCCTGAGCAGCTTTTATATTTTAGGCCTCTTAGACTTCTGAGAACTTGCTTCCATGTGTAAATTGGTAGAAGGTGGGTTTTCATCCCTAGTAGAGGGTTTCGATTGGAACGGGTGGTCTCCTACAGAACACAGTCCTGGTCCCTTGCCCGCCTCTCAGCTTCTCGCTCCTCTTTTTTTTTTTTTTAAAGGCTTTATTTTTTATTTATTTATGCATACAAGAACTGGGGTACAGGCCAGAGGTGTGGGGTGAGAGGATTCACCAGAGGCACAGTGGGGAGCAGAACAGGTGGATCTACTGCTGCGGGGAGCAGCGGGGAGACAGGAGAGGTCTGCTGCGGCCTGTGGGTAGCTCCCTGGCCGGGGATCGAACTCGTGCTACAGTGGCTCAAGATAGCTTAGCTTGATAGCCCTCTTAACTCCTTCTTCCTCCTTGCCCCTCCTCTCCCCTCAGCCTCCCTCCCCTGGCAGGAGCAGAAACCACCAACTCTTCCTCTACTCCACCCCCAAGCACCCCACCCCAAGTCCAGAACCTGAACAGCCAAGCCCTGGAGGCAAAGTGCAAGCTTCTCACTGCTGTCCCCTCCCCCAGGAGACAGCTGCCACCTTCGCCTTCCTGCAGAGAGAATTACAGGAACAGTTTGCTAAGATTTAAGAGTTTTGTTCCCTGTCTAAACAAGATGGGAAAAAATCTCTGAAGTTTAATTAAGATAGTGCCTGGGCATATTGTGGTTTTAACTGCTTTGTTTTACATGGAATTTTATCATCACTAAAAGTAATGGGCACTTCTTGGTATGTATATAATTTTAATAAACAATGTTCAAGGTGATAAAGCAGCGGTGATGAGAGCTCGGCTTTCCTTCCACCTGCCAACACCATTCACACCAGAGGCGGCCTAAAGGAGGCGTCGCTGACCAGGCAGCACCAGGTCTGAGGGCCAAGAGGAAATCGGGCCCTCCGTGAGGGGCGGGCTTTGAGCACGCAAACCTGTGAACTGATAGACAACGTCACACGCTTACTGCAGGCGTGGGGTTGACGTCACACCTGGAATGTGTCTTTTGTCGAATGAGCTCCATATTTGAAGCCTTTACGCCATGAGAGGGAAAGAAGATGCCCAGCGCTGAGAGCAGTGTCCTCAGTGAGCTCCTATACCTTTTCTTTCTCTTCCAACCTTACCATCTCACCAGGCTCTACCCTCTCCAAGGTCACGTGCCCCTTTTCCTTGATGAGGCAGACGGCTCCCAAGGGCAGGGCTCAGGTAGCTCTGGATGGGCTGTGGGGGGGGGGGGTCTGTCCTCTTGTTTTTACCTTATAACTTGTCCCTAAGTCAGGCTTGCCCTCCTGTTTCTCTGGTTCCTCCTGAAATCTTCCTAGTTACACCTGCCTAAAGGATTCGAGAACTTTCTATCAATTGAACTCTTTTTTCTGGAGTGCAATGGCTACTGACCATGTCCACCACACTCTTCACAGATGCAGGGGTCAGAGTGTCCCCCTTCCTCTGCTTCTGTGCCCTGCTCATTGCATTTCAATGCCCACGTCCTCTGCACCAGGTCCACACCTGCGTTTCTGATCTTGCCCCACCACCAGGCATCACTTAGGAGGTTGCTTATTTCCTCTGGGCACCTGGTTGACAGCCAGGGCAAAGTGCCACCAGGCCCAGAGGGACCTGGCCACCTGCAGTCTTGGGGAGCCAACAGCCAGGCTGACTGGAGGTCTCCTTACCCAGCTGGAGATCCCAGAGTGCTTTGGGACATTTTAATTATGCCTTGTGCTCTTTATCAAAGCGACGAGGCCTATGTGATTCTGTTTCACATATTTACATAAACACCACAAGTAGATGGATACAATCACATGCCCTGTTTATTAATAGCTTAATTGTTCTCTTTCGTTCTTGCATTTGCCCTGATTTCCCTTTCAGATTTAATTAGCACAACTTTTTAAGTTTTTAAATTTATAGTGAATAATCTCACTTAAGTAAGTCCAGCTAGCATGTGACAGATGTTTAATATCAAAAGCCCACAGGGAAGACTTCTGTTTCGTCTTTGATTTGTTACTTAGTTTGTTTCTTGAGCCAGAGAACTGTCTGACACTGCTGATCACTTGTAAGTATTCATCAACATCAGCTTTTATTGTCTTTTCCAATTCCCTGTTCTCCCCTGAATTTCTCTCCTGCTCCTGGCACAGGAGCGGAGGGTAAGCTGGGCAGAAGCAGCCAGAATAGCCCGTATGATAAGCCTCATAAAGTTATTTTTCTCAATTAATGGTTTTCACTGACAATTTTACTGCTCTGCTTTAATCTTCCCCTTCCCCTGGGCATCTGTACAGATGTGTGATAAGCCTCACGCAATCCAACAAAATTAGCCTCTCAGAATACAGACTACCCTATCTTTAAAAGCTCATCTCTCTCTCTTTTGAACATAACACTTGAAAATACATTTAAACAGAGTAATAGGGCTTTCCAGCAGAGCTATAAAAGTGATTTGTGCGTAACTATATAGTTATTCCTCTCCCAATTGACATCCCCTACATATGAATTTTCCTTGAGTGTGTATCTCAGCTGTTTCCAAAACCTTCACTACTAATGAGAAATTTTTATTCCGGCCTTACTCGCTTCTACCTGGCTCTAAAGACCCCCAGACGTGCTGAACGGAAGCCACTGGGGGCACAGAACCACGAGCTGGCTACCGTGCTGGCATGTTCTGCTCCCCGGTTGCTGATGGGTAGTCAGTCAGCTCTTTCTTAATCAGGGAAAGAAAAGTTCTTAATTTATTTTTTCTCAAGCGCTTTTCTGCTCAGGACCCCCTGAACAGCAGGGGGGCAGCAGGAGAGCTAAGAGAAGCTCAGTGGGGTCTCTACCTTATAGGGGGGAAGGGCTTCACCCCACCCCCTGCCCCAAGGACTCACAGCAGAAGGGAGACCCCTGGTAAGAACGCCCTGAGTGGGGGGTAGTTTTTGAAGCAGATTCACACACATCTGGGCATCCAGACTTTTTTTTTTTTTAAAGAGATGCGCTAACAGAGGCTCGCAGAGACTAAATAAGGACATCTTTCAAGTGAGAAGCCTTGTCGCTCATTGTCAGAGACCAGGTATTAAATCACCACTTGATTCTCATTAAAAAAAGCAAATACAATTTCACAAACAGGATTAGAGATGCAGTGATTTCCATGCACTTGGGGCGGAGCATCTTTTGTAATCGAGACTTACCAGTGACTGTGCTTTTCGTAGCTTAGATTTGTCCTGCAACTTATTTTTCTTATCTTGTGACTTCTCTGAGGTCATTTCATGTCTTTTCCGTCTTCTGTAGAGTGGAAAACAATGCAAGAATTAAAAATGATGACTTTAAAACTTTGGTGGTTGGTGGAACTATCTGTCGATTTGATTTTGCTGTTTCTGTAAATGAAAATGTTGTTTTCTGGGCCTCCCCTGGTGGCGCAGCAGTTGACCGCTGGGCTGAGAGGCTGCCTGCATCCTCTGCAGCACTGGTTCGTTCCCCGGCCGCCAGCGAGGGTCCCACAAAAAAAGAAAAGAAAAGAAAAGAAAATGTTGTTTTCCATCAACTGGAAACAAGTGAAATGTCTATCCATAAGGAACTGCTGGACACACAATGCAGTACTATGCACTGTGAAAAAGAAGGCAGAATCTTTTTATATGTAGCTAAGGCGTGATCTCCAGGATATATTGTTACAAGAAAAAACAAAGGTGGATTGCATGATGTCCTTTATTTCATCTCACCTCGGGGACCCCAGGAGCCCTGAAGACACATGGTAATCTGAACATCCCCCAGTCATCAAGCCTCCGGGAGCTGTCCTTCCTTTATTAGCCAAATAATGTAACTTCAGAAGCCATCCCACAAAAGAGGTGCTGACTCGCTACGCGTCTGTCACTGTTACAAACATGTTACACGTATGAAACCCTCAGGGTGAGCTATTACCATGACTGCCACTTTACAGAAGTGGAAAGTAAGGCACAGAGAGGTTAAGGGACTCCCTAGGGTCACACAGCCGAATGTGTGACAAGCTGGATTTGAACCCGAGCACTATCCTATGCTGCCTTGGTACTGATTTGTTGAAATAAATTCCAACAAATGGCAGATATGTTAAAACATCCTCAACTATTCCACAATGTAGTTCCTTAAGTTCCTGTTCATTCTTGGTGTGCATGTTAAACGCACAGCTATGTATGCACATACAGATGCAGGTGCATTTTCTTATTTCTTCTTCCGTCTATACCGCCTCTGGCATACTACAGATACTCTTTAACAATTTGCTCTTTCACTTAACAATGCATCCTGGTATCATTCCTCATCAGTTCACAGCTCTCTCCTTTGTTCATTTTTTTTTTTTTAAGATTTATTTATTTATTTATACAAGCACTGGGTACAGTCAGAAGCGCGGGAGGGTGAGAGAATTCACCAGAGCCAGAGCGGGGAGCAGAGCAGGCAGAAGGACCCAAGTACACCGCTGAGGGGAGCAGCGGGCGGCAGGAGAGGTCTGCGCGCCATGTGGGACCCTCCTTCGGTGGCCAGGGAGCAGCCGGGGATTGAACCAGCGCTGCAGAGGCTGCGGGCAGCTTCGCAACCCAGCGCTTAACCGCTGCACCACCAGGAGGCCCCCAGATAACTTCTGAACCCAGCATTATGTGTACATGTCACCTCACACCAAACACAAAAGGAGCCACAGATACATGCTGAGCTCTAATTTGTGTCTATGGTGGTATGGGTGAGTGATTCTGAAATTACATTTGCTTTTAAAAGATTTATTTATGCATACAAGAAGTAGGGTAAAGGCCAGAGGTGCAGGGGGTGAGAGGATCCACCAGAGACAGAGTGGGGAGCAGAGCAGGCAGATCTACTGAAATACACTGCCAAGGGGAGCAGCGGGTGAGTCCAGAGAGGTCTGCTGCGCCATGTGGGTAGCTCCCTGGCTGGGGATCCAACTCTGCTGCAGTGGCTGCCCAGAGCTTCATAGTGCTGAGACTTAACCCCTTGTGCCACCAGGGAGGTGAAATTACTTTTGGAATTTTTTTCCCCCGCTTCTCTCCCCCTTCACCATGGACTCCCTGCTTCCTCCTGCCCTTTCCAGTTACTTTCAGAATCTATAAGTAAGTGTATACTCTACACATGGCTACACTATAGATATAATTCTGTTTTTATGCAAAATTAGGTGCATCTAGAATACACAATAGAAACAAAATTATGGGTTTATGTGATACAAAATGTATGCTTCCAATAGATAGAACGAGTGCCAAGGTTGACTGTCAGAGGAGGGAACTACAAATAGGGAAAAGGAAAAGTGGAGAAGGAATCCTCTGGTGCAGCGTTGGAATCTGAGGGATTCAAGCACTAAAAGAAGCTGTCACGTTAAGTCATTGCAGCTACGAAACTCAAACAAATCCCAAGGAGCAGCGCACATTTACCAATAACGGTTCATTTACTTTTCAATTACCTTTCGCATGCATTGAAAAGCACTTGCATTTCTGTGCAAGCCCAATTTTCAGCTCTTCATATACTGAAGTGCCAGGAAATTGACTCTAAAAGCAAAGAAATGGCGGGGATGCCAGCGCCCTACCCTTGCCAGGCTGGCTCCGTGGGGTCACAGTTGTCCAGGTAATTGAAGCGAATGATATCCGTTGGGTGCTTGTCCGAGGACCGCCAGGGTGGAAGTTCTTTCTCCCCTGGGTGGTTCTTCTTTCTTAAAGAGGAGAAGGACCGGAAAGGCAATGGAGACTGCTTGTCCTCCAGGGAACTGCTTGTCACTGGTTGAACATCAGCAACCACAAACCCATCTTTCGGAGGCGTCTAGAAGAAATTAAACATTTGTGTTCTCAAAGCAATACGACAGCAGCAGCAAAGAACCTCATCGTTCCCCTGGGGATGTTAGGGGGAAAAGGCTGTCCTCAAGCTAATCCCATACAGGCTTTGTGGACGCCACCCCCACCCCAGGCCAAAGCCAAAGACACTGGGAACTCCAAATCCCATCCCACCCAAGGGAAGGGGGCTGGGACCTGAGGGTGGGGTTCAGCAGCCAGGTGGGTATAAAGCCAGACAGTGGGCTTTGGAGGGGTCCCCCATGTTGGCTCCCCGCCAGCTCGCAGCGTCCGGCCAGCTCGGAGAGTGCCTTTGGGTTTCCAGGTCGTTGGATCGGGTAGGACGCATTAAAGACTTTATTTCCCTATTTTCTCCCTGAGTTGTCCATTTTCCTTATTTCCTTTTCTCTTGTAAATAAACCTTTTATGAACCTTTCGTGTGTGCCTGTAGTGGAGTATTCATAAGTCCCTTGTAAGCGCGCGGGTGAGGACCCACAGCCAGGAACCCGTTCAATATCGGGGCTGCCCTATAACAGGGAGAGAAGAATGGATGAGATGGCAGCGGTCACCGCCCAGGAGGACTTGCTCTGTGCCAGCTCTGTCTCAGTGTCCAGGCATTACTTCATTTGGCCCCCAGGACAACGCTACTCTGTACTATTGTGCAGCAGAGGAAACTGAGGCTGCAGCAAACCCGCTGATTTGTCCACTGCTCCATAAGGAAGAAGACAGTCAGAACTGGACCCCACTGTGCCTCTTCTGCCTATAGTTCTGTAGCTTTTACACAGTCGCAGTTCACTTCTTCATCATCTATCAATGATTCCTAATTTATAGCCATTATTCATCATTTCTAAATTACTTATCACTTAATCATACAGATTCATGAAGAAGTCCTCCACTCCTGATTACCTAGCACACATGGAGACAATTTCAAGTTCTAGAGGAGAGAATATACGTTTCATCAGCTCTCAACCCTCAATGCCTGCCAAATACGTTTGCTTTAGTTTCCCAAATTGAAAGTCTATTTTGCGTGTGTTGCATTCATAAGGTTTTTATGTGGTTGTAGCCTGAGGGAAGTGGAATTGGTATGTTGAGAAGCCATTAAAGGCTTAATTCTTGTTCTTTAAGGGATTAGGGAAGCTTTGCTTAGTAAATTGGTTTGCTTGGATTGTTCATGAAAATCAAGACATTCCGCAGTCCCTCCCAGCAGAATCGCTTAGTCTCTTATCCGGGTTTCAATGTTCTTTGTAGGGGCTTCCACGAGAGGAGAGGACAGTACTTGGCACTCAAGGCTGCAGTTATTTGTCTCTTTCCTGGGCACCAGGCAAGGCTCTGGAAAGCAGGGGTGGGGGGCAGGGTACCCTTAGCACCTAGCACAGAACTGTGTTTGCTAAATATTCACTCATTCAATAAATGATCATAGTCTAGTCTATGAGACTATTCAGGAGACACTTTATACAGCTCGTTATTGACAGCTCGTTATTGGCTTAGTTTCAATATTTTGTGCCGGTCTCTTTTAGAGTAGAAATTTCATTTCTCTGAATTCATATTTATGTGTTTTTGCTTGGAGATGGTCTGAATAATGTTACTGGAAGTAAAAGATAAATAATAAAAATAACTTCAGAGGGAAAAATCTGTCATAAACGCTAGTAATTAAACATCATTAATTTTGAAAAATACCAAATGTGTGATACTTTAACAAAATTGGTAATGAAAACTGTGATAATTTTTCTGCATTAAGGAAACAAAATTTTTGTTCACCTAATTTTTTAAGAATGTTTAAAATCATGACCGGATGCTGGGTTTTTAAAGTGTATTTGTTTGCACACACTGGGATGATCAAGCATTTTTTTCTTCTGTGAGTTACATCAATTGACTTTTGAATATCAAGCCAACCTTACTTTCCTCAGAGAAATCCCATTTGATCAATATCCCATTTAGTATTCTTTTTATATATCACTGGATTTAATTTGTTAATATTTTAAAAGGACTTTTGTCTGTATCTGAGGGGAAAACTTATATTGTGAAAAAAAAAAAAAACAAGGATATAAAATATTGATAAATCAGAGAGAGGGGCAAGGGAGGGGGTGATAAAATAGAAGGTTTTGGAAATGCTTTCGTTTCCTATGGTCTTAGGGCCTCTGGTAGGAAGCCACATTGGAAGCAAACTGATTAAAAGCAGCACCATTAAATCCACGTCACAGCAAATCCTTGCCTGACTCTTACCTTACAGTACCCCAAACAGCCCAGGGAAGTATATGCCATTGGCAAGGGATTAAACAAATTATGGCTGAATCCCCTACTCACTCCAGCAGCAGCCCGCTGCTCCCCTCAGCAGTGTATTTCGTCAGTCTGCCTGTTCTGCTCCCCGCTCTGTCTCTGGTGGATTCTCTCACCCTCCCACAATTCTGGCCTGTACCCCGGATCTTGTATAAATAAATAAATCTCGCTCAGATGACTTTCTTCACCTCAGTCCTTCTGACTTCGGACTATTTCTTTAACCAATAAGTCGAAGTTCATGAGTTGATTTTATTAACCTCTTTTTTTCTGGTTTCAGTCTATTTCTTTAACAGAAAAGATAAAGTTTGGCATAACAAAGTACTCCCTACTGAAATTTAATACTCAGCAAAGACATTGGAATTTTCTTACACCAGAACTAGTCATTGTTTTTATTTTTTTTTAAGATTTATTTTTTATTTATACAAGAGCTGGGGTGTAAGCCAGAGGTGGGGGAGGGTGAGAGGATTCACCAGAGTCAGAGCGGGGAGCAGAACAGACAGACTAACTGAAATACACTGCTGAGGGGCGCAGTAGGTGAGACAGGAGAGGTCTGCCGCGCCATGTGGGTATCTCCATGCCAGCTGGGATCAAATCCGCACTGCAGAAGTTGCGGACAGCTTCACAGAGCTATGCTGCTCCAGCAGGGAGGCCCAGTCATTGTTTTTTTTTTTTTTTTTTAAAGATTTGTTTGTTTGTTTGTTTGTTTGTTTATTTATGCAAGCACTGGGAACAGTCAGAAGCGCGGGAGGGTGAGAGAATTCTCCAGAGCCAGAGCGGGGAGCAGAACAGACAAACTGACGAAATATACTGCTGAGGGGAGCAGCGGGCGGCAGGAGAGGTCTGCGCGCCATGTGGGACCCTCGCCAGCGGCCGGGGATCGAACCGGTGCTGCAGAGGCTGCGGGCAGCTTCGCAGCCCAGCACTCAACCGCTGCGCCACCGGGGAGGCCCCAGTCATTGTTTTTAAATAGTTATACATGAATATTTTGTGGAAGATGAATTATTACTGGAGATAAAACATTAATCTCAGATACATGTAATGTATATAATACTCAAAACTTCCCTTCATTTCTCCAAGTTAATCACTTCTCACTCCCCCAGAACAGCCCAGACTGCAGCCATCTCCCTGCCTCTTAGAGAGTCAAGAAAAGCCTTGAGAAAAAAAAGTCAGGGCTATGGTGATTTTTAAAGTCACTTCTACAGTTTAAAATTTCATCGGGAAGGAAATCTGCATGGAGTACATCAAAAGCTGAAATCAGAGAGACCAGTTTTATCATTGTGGTTGTAACAATATTAATTATGCAGTTTATTGCTATAGTAAATGTAGATGACTTCTACTTTAAGACAATAAAACTAAGTCTGAACGAGCAAGTCAGGAGTTGCTATTTATATTTAAAAAGGATTCTCAATTTTAAAAGGATTCACTGCAGCTTTTTCATAGAATATGATACCCCTGTGGTTTTAAAAATCATTTAAACATTTAATTTACACATAATTTTTCAGGAATCATCCATTGTACAAAATGCTACACAATTCTGCATGTGTAGCACAGAAAGAAACAGCTCATAAAAAAATTTCCCATCAGTTACCTAATTAACCGACTGTGAGGAGAACATACACATTGGTTACAGTGCCTGGAAAGTCACAGGAAAAAAATGATTCTTGCATTATTCATTTTTTATGATTATATGTAAATGCTTTCTTTAGCGCAGTTTCTAGCTTAAAAAGAGCTTTCAGGTGTCCATATCCCCTTCCATATGATTTCTTGGAAAACCTTCTTTATAAATGACACAAAAATGAATTTTAGCTCACCTGGTAGAATTATAAAATATTTGAATTAGTAACATAAAATTGGATAGAGAACCAATACTGACTGCTATAAGCCACAGAGTCCTGGTGTTAGAACTGTCTGCTATGGGGGCCTCCCTGGTGGCCTAAGGGTTAAGTCTTAGTGCTAGCACTACCATGGCCTGAGTATGATCCCCGGCCAGGGAGCTGACCCACATATGGCACAGCAGACCTCTCCTGTCTGCCTGCTGCTCCCCTCAGCAGTGTATTTCAGTAAATCCACCTGTTCTGCTCCCCACTCTGTCTCCGGTGAATCCTCTCACCCCCTGCTCCTTTGGCCTACACCATGGTTCTTCTATGCAAAAATTAAAAAAAAAGAATTGCTGCTCTGGGAGTTGGGGTACACAAATGCTGGCCCTGGACAGGGCTTGGGGTGTCAGGTGAGACACAAACACAGCTAGCTTGAAAGGGGACGCGTCCTTAGAAAAAGAAGGCTGAGCTACAGTCGATTTCCTTCGAACTAACTCCTTTCCCTAGCTCCGAGCCAACCATTTAGTCTGAGTTCTAGAAACAGCTGGTGCTTGCCCAGACTCACCTTCGGCTTGGTGACGTGAAGTTCCTTCACCATCTGAATATAGTGCTTCTTCCACACGCCCTGCTCGAAGGGGGTTGGAGAGAAATTGATGTACCAGCTAAAGCGCAGACACTTCACCATCCACAGCTGGTCCAGCTCGGTCAAGTTCTTCCAGTGCCAGCTCACCTGGAAAAGGCAGTGACAGCGGGGGGGGGGGGGGGGGGACCTACTTGGTTTATGTTCCTGCTGTCTCCAGGCTTGGGGCTGTGACCTGGGGTCTGAGGTAACTTTGTCCTCTTCCTCCAGATCACAGCCTAAACTGTTACCATTCCCTGAAGCACCTCCTGTCCCCACGGGAGGATTTTCCCTCAATTATGTTCATGTCAGTTCAGCCTTAGAATCAGAGTCAACTAGTATTTCTTGAGTACTTATTAACCAACCTGAGAGCCATCTCAGAAGGTAAGTATAATTACTCTCAGGTAGCAAATGAGAACACCGAGGCAGAGGTTTTCCAGCTTTCTAAAGGCCCCTGGAGCTTAAGCGCTAGCTCACCGAAGGCTGAACTCAGCTCTGCATGTCGTTTTTTCTTCTCTGCTTCCGTTCCCCCTCCACTCTTAGGATTTACTTCAGTATAAAGGGTTTAAAGAGAACTCAGCACTAACACTACGTGCTGTGTCCCAGTGGGCCTGGAGATCCGTAGTGCCAGCGGTCGGCTCTGTGCCTTCCACTTCCACAGCATCGGGTCACACCCAGGACAGGTGGATGAACGACTGGCCGGCAGCCCTGACAACAATTCACTCCGGGTTTTGAATAAGCCCTACTGGAAAGTAGGGTCTAGTTTATAGAGAGAGTTGTGACCAGGCATCCTGTGGCTTAGCTTCAAGGATTGCAAGATGACATCTAACCTGCAAACCCAAACTTCACCCCGGGAAAAATGGGCCTCTTTTGAAGATTAATTAAATAGCTGATCACACTTGAGGGTCAAAGAAATAAGGAGAATACCACAGAGGGCTCTGCAGCCCAGACAGCCATCTCTCTGTCCCTCTGTCCCTCCTTCCAGCACCACGGGGGAGGACCTACTAGGTTATTGTCGCTTTTTTGTGCTGCAGTTGAGAGAGGAAGAAGAGAGGAGGGCACAGCTAGGAGAACTAATGGGCTCAGGGAATGGGGGTGGGGTGTGAAGGCCAGAGGATCTGCTCTGAGGCTGCAGGCAGAGGAGGAATCACATTGGCTTGCTCAGCCCAGACCGGAGTCTCCTTGTTAGTTCACTTACTCCCAAGTCAATGGAGAGCTGAGATTCTGGACGGAGGGGACGGGGAGAAAAGTCTCTCAATTTTTACTCTTTTTCCATAGATTTCATTTAGATCTGGGTATTTGCTTTCGAGATTTTGTTGTTTTAAGGAGCAAGGAGAATCTTTTTTAAAAAGCTCTTTGTCACTTTGGCACGACATTCTGATTGATCTTAAATCCAGCTGGAAACAGTGCCCTATGTCTTCCCCACAGTCAGTACTGAAAATAAATATAAAACTGAGATCTTGCAAGACTGACATGTGTGCACTCAGATTACTTATTTCAAATAACATTTCCCTTGAATGATAACATTCTTTTTTTTTGTTTGTTTATTTACACAAGCACTGGGCACAGTCGGAAGCGCGGGAGGGTGAGAGAATCCACCAGAGCCAGAGCGGGGAGCAGAGCAGGCAGAAGGACCGAAGCACACTGCTGAGGGGAGCAGCGGGCGGCAGGAGAGGTCTGCGCGCCATGCAGGACCCTCCTCCAGTGGCCGGGGAGCAGCCGGGGATGGAACCGGCGCTGCAGAGTCTGCGGGCAGCTTCGCAGCCCAGCGCTCAACCGTTGCGCCACCGGGGAGGCCCTGAATGATAACATTCTCATTGTGGAAAACTTGGAAAGTTCAGAGACGTTTAAGGAAAAACGATATCCATAACCCCAGCAATCAGAGATCACGTTAACAACTGCGTACAGTTCTTTACTTCTCTGTCTGTTTTCTAGGCATGTATGAATCAAAACTGGGGAACTCTATATATGCAATTCAAAATCATGCTTTCTTCATTTTATTTTAGTACCAGCACCTCTGTCCTTCCGAAACATGTTTTCTAGTGACTACATAATAATTTATCACAAGGCTCCTGTTGGATATTTGGAGCCCTTTGCTCCTAAAATTATTTTGTTTTTGGAATAGATCATATCGATGCAGTCATTTCAGATCTTAGCAAACCCAATGAAAAGACAACAGGATGACCACTAGCTTTATGTCTTAAAGAACTTAACTTTCTATTTAAAAAAAAAACAACCACTTTAGGGGCCTCCCCGGTGGCGCAGCGGGTTGAGCACCACACTGTGAAGCTGTCCACAGCCTCTGCTGCGTGGGCTCGATTCCCTGCCGGCCAGGGAGATTCCCACATGGCGCGGCAGACCTCTCCTGTCTCGTCTGCTGCTCCCCTCAGCCGTGTTACTTCAGTCAGTCTGCCTGTTCTGCTCCCCGCTCTGTCCTGGTGAATCCTCTCACTCTCCTGCGCCTCTGGCCTGTACACCAGCTATTGTACAAATAAAAAATAAATCTTTAAAAAAACCACAAAAATATTTTTTTAAAAAAGAAAAAACCACTTTAACACACCATGGACTTTCTTGCTGGAACAGAGGTCAGCTCCTCTGCAGGCCTGTGCCACCTGAGCTCTTTGATTCTCATGTTCTTTTGTACTTCTCTCCTTCGTGCCTTGTTTTATTTTAAACTTTTCTATTTATGGATGACCTAAAAATTTATGGTTTAGGATTTTATTTTATTATTGTGCAATAGAAGACTATCCTGCTGAGGTTCCCGGAGAGGTTCCCTCTGGTGGAGGCCAGAGGGGAGGGGTCCTGTGGACTAGGGTGGGGCCTACGGGTGCCTGGCGGTGGGTGTGGAAAGGGACATCCCAAGAGGTGTGACCCTGAACCCCTGAATCACAGTGTTATAAGCCAACCAATAAAAAAGTAATACCAAAAAAAATTGGGGGAAAAAAAACAGATGAAGTCCAGTGGAGTAAAGGCATACACTTTCAACTAATTCTTTTGATTTGATGTGGCGGGAATACGTCTTTGTAAATAAAACTTACAGGAATACAGAGAGAGAGAGAGAGAGAGAGAGAGAGAGAGAGAGGCGACTCTGCTGACGCAGCTCCTCTTGCAAATGCTGCTGCTCCTCTTACAAGTGCACTTGTCTCCTCAACTAGCCCACATTTTGGGGACACTAATGGCATCTCATACGTCCCCCTCAGTACAGAGCCGGCCACGAAGGAGCCCCCCAGCTACAGACTACACCCCCTGTGTCTTGGTCTCGGCATGCGCTTGCCCCCCAAGTCACCCCCCGGTCAGGCTGTTCGAGGCTGTCCTCGCGCAACGTTACGCGCCGCTTCTCCGCCGTTACCTGTGCGCACCGACAAAGACTTCGGGGGTCCAGGAAGGAAAAGATGTACAGAGACAGCACCCTGGGGAGCCTGGTGGTGAAGTCCAGCGCTTCTGCGGGGAGGCGCGCCTGCAGCGCGCGGCAGCAGAACTTCTGCTGGGACACGGAGCAGCGCTCCAGCAGCCCCGCGAGCACCCGCCGCCGCTGCGCGTCCGTCCACTTGTCGAACTGGAAAAGGACACCGCGCAGCTCGGGTTAGTCTGACGCCAGATTCATTAGGAGGAGCTAAGAGCGGCCTGTGAGGTGAGGGCGGCTGCGATCCTACGAGTGTTGGGCATTTCTCTGCCCGGTAAGTCAAGGCCCCCGTGCGCCCCTGCCGGGCCTGGCGCACACCGGCACAGGTGCGCCCGTGCAGGCCCTGAGCCGCCCACCCGTGGAACAGCACCTGCCCCTCCGGACCGGCAGTTAGGCAGGATCCGTCGCTGGGAGCCGCCATCCCGACCCACCGAGAAGCGATGGACAGGTCAGATACAGCCCCAAGACAAGGCGCCGGCCGGCCCTCTCGTCCCCACCGGCCCTCTGTTAGCTCTCTGCTGACTCGGGCTCTAGACCTGAAACACGCTTGCAGGACACAAGGTTTAACATACAAATATCCCCGAGAAGGGGTAGCCATTGGGTTAAAAATCCCACTAACGTGTACAAGGCCAGCAGGATTGGAGAGGACGCGTCTCTAAGGGACGGAGGGCCTGGAAAAGGAGCAGCAGGCCCAGGAAGCGCTGCCCGAGTACTGGGGGAGGGGGAACAGGCGCTCTGGCCACTTCACCATCGTCCCCGGATAAACCCACTCCCAGGTCCGTGACTGATCAAAGGTGACAACCAAAAGGGAGGCTGTGGGTGCCCTAGCCGGTGAGGACCCTCTTCTGCAGAGTCTGAATCTTGCTTTTCTTCCTTAGCCCATCAGGGAAGAGAAAATTGGGATGTTTGGGCTACTTTTGCATTTTGTATACTATTGCATTTCACATGTAGATATTTATCATCAGTAATCAGAATTTTGTAATGAACTGGAGTTGTCATCATAAAATACGCTGAAGATATAAAAAGGCATACAAAGCAAAAATGTGTTTTTTACAAGGCTTAATGACAAGTCAACTTCCCTGTAGTCCTATGATGTATTTTAGATATTAATATGAATGCTTTTTGATGAAAACTGTTCAGTATTAGAAGTCTCGGGAATCGCCCATGAATCTCATTTTGAAGACTATAATTCAAGGGTGGAAACCCCTAAAATGAAATTTAAAAAACCATTTCAACTTACAAATAAATGAAAAGAGTGTACTCGTGTTGGAGTGTTCCCTGGTTTTTTGTGTTCCTGCTTCTGCACAATCCCTGTCTCCGACTCTCCAGAAGGGGGTGTCTTTCCTGGTGGCATAGATATTAGCTGTGCAGAGAGAGGGCAGATCTGACTGTCTAAGGCAGGCCAGGGACTGAGTCCAGGAGGCTGAGTGGATTTATAAAATAAAGAGCTGGCTGTGGGGTGGAGGGATGAGGGAATGGGAGAGCTGTGGGGCTTTGGATTGTTGGAAGTTGGGGTTCTGACTGTAATCGCCTCTACAGCAGCTATAGAGGGTTGGAGACCAGGGAAATTAAGGAGGGAAGTCTGAGAAACACTGTCAAACATTTTGAACTGGATCCCCTGTGATCGATCTTTCTTTTCTTTTTTTTTTAGGTTAAAAAAAGTCATTCACCTCAGAGACCTGAATCCACAGATGTAGGCAGTATATAGCTAGAAAGTCAAAAGCAAGCACAGATAATATATGCAAATTTCCGTTCACAAAGATCACATGTGCAGGTACATGAATTAGAAGAGTGTGTCTAGGTTACAGCCAAACTTTTTAAAATGCAGAAATTACACTTCCGTCCTTTTGGCTCTCCGAGCGGCACCATGGCGGTCGGCAAAAACAAGCGCCTTATGAAAGGTGGCAAAAAGGGAGCCAAGAAGAAAGTGGTTGATCCATTTTCTAAGAAAGATTGGTACGATGTGAAAGCACCAGCAATGGTCAATATAAGAAATATTGGAAAAACGTTAGTCACGAGAACGCAAGGAACCAAAATCGCCTCTGATGGCCTCAAAGGTCGAGTTTTTGAAGTGAGCCTTGCTGATCCGCAGAATGATGAAGTTGCATTTAGAAAATTCAAGCTAATTACTGAGGATGTTCAGGGCAAGAACTGCCTGACTAACTTTCATGGCATGGATCTTACCCGAGATAAAATGTGCTCCATGGTCAAAAAATGGCAGACCATGATTGAAGCTCATGTTGATGTCAAGACTACGGACGGCTATTTGCTTCATCTCTTCTGTGTTGGTTTTACTAAAAAACGCAACAATCAGATTCGGAAGACCTCTTATGCTCAGCACCAACAGGTCCGCCAGATCCGGAAAAAGATGATGGAAATCATGACCCAAGAGGTGCAGACAAATGACTTGAAAGAGGTGGTCAATAAATTGATTCCAGACAGCATTGGGAAAGACATAGAAAAGGCTTGCCAGTCTATCTACCCACTCCATGATATCTTTGTTGGAAAAGTAAAAATGCTGAAGAAGCCCAAGTTTCAATTGGGAAAACTCATAGAGCTTCATGGTGAAGGCAGTAGTTCTGGAAAGGCTACTAGTGATGAGACAGGTGCTAAAGTTGAACGAGCTGATGGCTATGAACCACCAGTTCAAGAATCCGTTTAAAAATCAGACCTTGATGACAAATAAAAAGTCAAATTTGAAAAAATAAATAAATAAAATGCAGAAATTTAAAATTACACCTTGAAAATATGAAGAGACAGTCTACACACTTAGAGATCAAGTCCTGCTTATACCAGACGTATGTCCACTTCAGGATTCCAGTGACCAGCAAGAAGCTCTCAAGAAATTAGTTCCGGTCAAAGGGAACAGGAACTTTTACATTACCCTGAAAATACACTGACTAGCAGGATACGAGATCAAGCAGGTACTTAGGGAAAAATTACAAAATCAAAGCCAATTTACTTTTTATCACCTAAACAACAGCATGACAATGAACGAAAACCACACCTGCATTCTATCTCCACTTTCACGTGAATGAAGTTCTCCAAAAATGAAACACAACCAAAAAAAAACTTCCTGCTGTGATTTTTCTCTGAGAGACGAAAAGAAAATGGAAATTCATTTTCAAATTACTCTCGGGTAGTGCTCTGAGTTTCTGTAGAAACTGAGCTGTGTGGGGGCCCAGGAGGATGAAAGCTACACAAAAAAATTTCATGAGATATTATTATCACTGCAAGAAATCAGAAATAATGCAAAATGCCTAACAGCAGGGACTAGCTAAGCACGCAGCGATACAGCAACACGGTAAGGGAAAGCGTGCTGCCACGGACTGATGGGGATGTGGGAATGTCGCCGTCGAGAGTCTACTTCCAATATTCTAATATTTCTACTACTTAGAAATCCATCACTAAATCTCAGCTCCACCACTAACCTCTCTCAGCTTCAATTTCCTCACTTTTACACTAAAGATAATTATATCTACACGGTAGGGTAGTTTTGTGAGGAATAAATAAGACATGGATACAATTCCTGTTAGAATGCATGACTCATGGAGACGTGACAGCTCTTATAAAATATCACAGTGATGTGAAAAATAACAAGTATGCGGGATAAATCAATGTAAGAAGAACATATATGCAAACGATTACATTAAACAGTATAAAATAATCATGGTTGTTCATCGACAGGAATGAGAAGTGCATTTAGAATGACTGGGGTTAGCGCATCTATTTTCATTGATGCCCACAGGAAGAGAATGGTCTCAAGACTGAAGACGGAGTGATTTAAAATGCAAATAAAGGAACATTAGGATTATTAAATGCTGAAGAAATCTATAAAAGCAAATAGTAAAACATTTTCCTCCAGAGATGAAAAGATAATTACATGGGCTTCGCATTTGTTTCCCCATTACAATGGTCAAAGGCAATTTATATTTGGCTTTGGTAGGTGTTGTTGGCCTCCGGGGATTTTCCTTTCTAATTGTGTTTGTTCAGGGTTAATAGAAATGAATTTGCATTCCTTGACCTCCTACTAAAGGAAGGTGGGTAGATGATTCAGAGGAAAGCTTCACAGCTGGGGGAAATCCCTTTGGAATGGAAAAGGTGCTAGGAATAATCCAAAAAGTAAATAATCCGTGGAGTTAACTGTGCAAGAATTTGATAATCTCCCACATCTCCTGTATCACCCCTCAAGTAAAAATATCCACTTCACAGTAGCCGGGGGTCCAGTGTGTGAGAGGAGGGGAATGTGATTCTTCTGTCAAGGTATCACAGATGGTATCTCACTTCACACTTAGTTCTTATTTTATAGGATAGGTTCAGCTACATCACATTATAATACAATTACATGTTATAATTATTTTACAGTGCTTCATTATAAGGTTTTCTTGACCCAAATGAATTGTGAAAATCTATAGTGGAATTATACAATATAGTGACATATAATATATAATAAATGCTACCTATTTCACTTTGCATTGTGTCTTCAAAGTTCAACGACGCCTAAAACATGTATCAAAATTTCCTTCCTTTTTGAGGCTGCATAATATTCCCTGGTATGAACACACACCCATTTTGTTTATTCATTCATCAGTTGACATACATGCTATGAACATTCATGTGCAAGTTCTGCACGACCATATCTTTTCAGTTCTCTTGGGCAGGAGAGACAGGTGAGACCATAGGGGAATTTAACCAGGAGTAAACATTGCCCAGAGGATATGCAGGTCATGACCCAGGGACGGCCAATGACCACTGGGATGCTGTGTCTCTTCTGAGGAACACATGAGAAAGTCTGCTTTTGTAGGAAGGACAGTTCTAGCTCTTTAGGTAAAAGTCTGCGGTTGTTGGTGGCTTCCTCTGGGATTCTATGTAGCATGGTGGGTATGGATGCTAAGTAGCATCCTGGTCACCAAGCTGCTATCACTCAAACCCACCTTTCTGTACTCTGCTGTGTGGATGTAGGAGGCTGGGGCCCCACATACCACATTTCTTCCTTGACAGCTGGCTCCCTGCTACAGGCTGCCCGTGGGCGGGCGCACTAGAGAGGCAGGGAGGGAGACTAGTCTTGCTCCTGCTTCTATCTCCTTGCCAGACTGGGCCGCTTGGGATGTCCTGGCTCTTCAGCAGCAGGTGAGCCAGATTCTTCCTACTCCCGGAGCCAGAGCACTCACTCGGCTGCATCAGAATCAGCAGGCAGTGGTGCCCTCCGTGTTATTCCTCGGGGCTCCCAGCTCCCCATCCTTCCTGAGCGGTGAGGTGTGGGTAGGTCTGGCAGGAGCTACTTCCTGCAGCTCTGTGCCACCTTGACATTCCCTTTTTCTACCTTCCAGTAGTCACTTAACCAACCCCACTTACTAAAGTATGCGTGTGACGATAACGGGCAGGCGCAGAGAAAAGGACAGACGCGCAGAGAAAAGGACAGACACGCAGAGAAAAAGACAGACGCACAGAGAAAGCACCAGCCCAGCCCCTCGGGAAGGAGCAGCCCCTGACCTCTCTGGGCTCTGTGATAACGTAACAGAGGAGCATGTAAACTTTAAATGGTTACCCATTTTCCAAGCAGAGCTCTTCTTTCTTCAAATACCTACAACAAATAAAAGAGAAGAGTTCATAGTTCATGGTTGCAAAGACCCACCACAGAAAGACATTACTAAAATATCAATCCGTAAATATCGACAGTCTTCATCAACCGAGTGGAAAAAGACAGTTCATTTCTGATGTTTAACTTAGACAAGGTTTTTTTTTTTTTTTTTTTCTGTTTCTCCATGTGAATGAACTCATCCAGAAGGAATATTTTTTTTAAAGGCAAGAAATAAGAAAATCATGGAATTGTAAGTGAAGTCATTTTCAGACATTGAAAAGAGATTTATTTTTTTTTAAGATTCATTTATTTATGCGTACAAGAGCTGGGGTGCATGCCAGAGGTGCAGCAGGGGTGAGAGGATTCACCAGAGACAGAGTGGGGAACAGAACAGGCAGAACGAAGAAATCCACTGCTGAGGGGAGCAGCGGGCGAGACAGGAGAGTCTGCTGCACCATGTGGGTAGCTCCCTGGCTGGGGATCGAGCCCGTGTTACGGTGGCCCTTGAAAAGAGATTTAAAAACTGACCTAGAAAAATAGAAAGATGGAGATCCTCTCCCCAACCCCAGTATTTCAGCATCCAGCCTGAGGCCTTGTGACTCCCGCGGGCAGCTGTGTTTGTCTCCCAGGCCCACACACGCCGTGGGCGCCCGTCCTCGGGTGTTCGGAGGAGCAGAGTTTGGCACATGTGCACCTCCAGGCTTGCGCCTCCGGGGTGACCAGCAGCGGTTTGCTGTTACACACTATCCAGGACAGAAACCCAGTCCCCTCCTTGTCCACACCCGCCGTGGAGAGTGCTGGGCGCGGTGGCAGGACGCAGTGTGGAAACGGAACCCCTCGGTGTGTGTTCCCAGCCGGTGCACAGGGGATTGCTGAGCATCCATCACACGTGCCTTTGAAGGCGGGAGAAAGGGAAAGCCTGGCAGAGGAGGGCGCTCTGGAGAGAGGAGGCGAAGCCAGTCACAAACAGACGCGAGTGTCTCTCTCTCCCACGCGCCGGCTGTCGCTCTCAGGAGCCGCGCTGTCCCGGCATCCTGGCTGCATCCTCCAGCGAGGCAGAAGCAAGGCAAGAAGCGGCTCCAGGCCTTTCTTCCCTCTCTGTGGGGGAGGAGGTGCAGCTGATTCCCACAGATAATGCTTTCCTTCCTCTTTTTAGAGCCTCAAATTCTAGTGTCAAAGGGAATACACCAAGGAGACCAGACAGGAAGAATTGGTTCAACAACAACCTCAAGGCCAGAGGAACAGCAGCTTTGCTCCTAACCAGCCTCTTTGCACATTAGAAAAGAAGAAAATATTCCTCTCGTCTCCTTAATTAATTGCTCCCTGGGAGAGGAGGGCCCTCAAATAGTGCAACAGATAAACTCAGAGTGCCTGGATGAAAACAGACAAGAGTCTAAAGAAAAGACAGACTACAGGGTACAGAAGAAGATCCACAAATCAAGACCCGACTATTACCTGCACTCTCGCTCTCAGCAACTCCTATCCCTCTCTCTCTGCCTGCATCCTGCAGCTTCCCGGCCCTGCTCTGCTCCTCCAACTGCTCCTCCAGTCCTTCCTCGCCCAGGCTCTGGTGGACTCGCCAGGCTGGTGAGTGTCTCTAGGTGTTTCTGTTAATTTGATGACAGCCACTTTCTTTCCCCACTCCCGGGGCCCATGGCGCGTCCCCAACCAACACCTGCAGACACAACCTCAACAGCTCCGGGTCACAGGACTTTCCAGCTAAAAGGAAAACTAAAGATCTTTTTGTTCAGTTCCACTACTTTAGAGCAGGCAAGCAGAGGCCAAAGGGGTCATAACTAGAGTGTTTTTTTTAGCACTTGTTCAAAAAAAAAAAAAAAAAAAAAAAAACCATACTCAGGCAAAAGCCAGCAGGAATAAATCTGGGACTTAGCGAAAGAATTTCATGGTGACCAGAGGGACCTGGGGGGACAGCGTCGTCATGGCGGTTTCATGGAGGCTGAGTGGAGCATGTGCACCTTGGAAGAGCAAAAATGTAACCCCAAGTTAAAATAAGTAAATGGTATATTTTTAAGAAACAAAAGAGAAAAGCACCTCATCAACCAGTCACTGGTTCGAGACTATTCAGCTCTGCTCTGTCCTTGTGTCTTCCCTAGAACCCTGGTGTCCCCCCGCCTGGTTTCTAGGCACAGCCTCCGTGAACTGTGGCTCATGCCTTGGCCTTATGGAAGCAAGAAAAGATTAGGTTCCTCGACCACCATCTTCTTTTCAGAGGTGACTGGGGTGACAGTGACCAAGGAAAGTGGGGGCGCAGGAAACCAAGGGATCCTGACCTAAAGAGAAGAGAGTCAGCAACACGGTAGCAGGTGGGAGTGGAGTGGGAGGGGGTGTGGCGTTTTTTGGGCTAAAACAATAGTCTCTCCAGAGCCAACACCCAAAGCTGGATGTCCACACACATCCTGCTCTTTACCAAAAGGCATCCAGGCCCAAGTGGAAACTGAGGGAGTGAGGAGGAGGAACCCCAGCAATCTCAGACCTGGTTCCCACACGTCTCCTGAGAAGGAAAGGAATTTGGGACACGTTATTTAATTGGCAGGTCCTCAGTCCCTGGTTTGGAGCAAGGTTTCATCCTAAGGATGTGCAATCAGGTTCATCATCCTAAGACGCTGGGAGACAGTATGGATTTGGAATGGAAATATTAAAATGGATCTTCTTTCCTTGCAGAATGCTGCAGTCTGTTTACATCACAGTTTACTTGGAGCCTGCTGTTAAGTCAAAATCCTCCGGTGGTTATTTTAGTCTGGTGACACTGCGGTTACATATCTCGCCATGTGACATCATCACATGCAGGAGCAAGACATTGAGGGGCCCCTTCGTTATGACTGATTGATAGCAAGTAGGTGCTTTTCTTCAGAACATCCTTTTAGCATAAACCATATTCGAAAAGAGATGTGGGTTACTTGCAATTAAAACACAGGATGGCAAAGAAACACATTCTTTTAAAATATTCCTCCTCTCAAAATTCAACATAGTGACTTGAGAAGCTGTTACCTATGCCTGTGCTCAGGTGATGTTATTTTCTTAGGCCTTTGAATTTGAATTCAATATGCCTCCTGTGAAGTTAAAATCCTGATTCCTATTTTAGTCTAAAATAGTTCCAGATTTCACATTTTACTACAAAATAGAAGAAAAGCATATTTCAAACAAAGCCAAAAAAGTAGGACCAAAATGACACTGATCACTGGGGACAAACGTCTGTCCAGTGCAGAAACCCCCCTGAAGTTACTGTACGTGCAGACACCTAAGGCCAGTGGTTGGCATCCTGGCTGTTCATTTTCAATCTCTGACAGTCAAAAATGTTAGATCTGGGAGGGAACATGGAGGTCGTCTGAGCCGACCTCGCTCATTTTACAGAGGAGGACAAGGCAGAGGTGAGGTACTTACTCATGCAGGGAATTACTAGCACAGCAGACGGGGAATGAACATTTTCAACTCCCAGAATTATTGGTCTTTGTTTACTTCTATCAACAGTCACTTTAGAAATGGTTTTAAAATGTGAAATTTTATTGCACTGTATAAAGTTAAGGGAAAAAAAAAGCCCTCTCTTCTACCAGATCCACCCCCCCAACCCCCACTGCCATCTAACTCCTCCAGGAAACCACAATTAATCTGTTTGCATATACAAATTCTATGTGTGTGTCTATGTATGTCTATATACACACAAATGTGTAAACACACATGTGAAGATTTTTAAAAATCATTTACTCCAAACCAGAAGCTAATTAAACCAAAAAACTATTTGGGAAACTAAAATGGGAATTCAGAATAACAACATAAATATCATCTCCAGAAATTATCACAAAAATTTTTTAAAGAAGTATTCCTTTACTATAAGATTTTTATTCATTTTGCATAGAAGAACTGAGGTCTAGGCCAGAGGTGTGGGGGTGAGAGGATCTACCAGAGACAGAGTGGGGAGCAGAACATGTGGATCTACTGAAATCCATTGCTGAGGGGAGCAGCGGGGAGACAGGAGAGGTCTGCTGCACCCCGTGGGTCAGGTCGCTGGCTAGGATTTGAACTCAAGCCGCTGTGGTGGGCCATCGTGGTGGTAGCACTAAGACTTAACCCCTAGTGCTAGGGAGGCCCTATCACTAACTTTTAACAAAAGCCATTCAATAGATCAGCCATGTCACCCTTGCTGTGATGCAGAGCCCAGATCTCCCTCCAGGATGGAAGGGTTTATCCCCCCTGTCGGTGGCAGTGCTGCTGGCTGGCAGCCATGACGCACAGAACCATGCACGGCCCCAGCCGCTAAATGGTCACTGTGGACAATCCAGGGCCAGGCCCCTGTGATGCAATGGAAGACTCTGAAGGTTTTTTAGGGTGCCCTGGGGGTTGGTGCAGGCCTTATGGAGACCGTCACACAGCCAGTCGCCCCCTCTGCCTCAGGCCTGTCCTTTCCACCTTAGCCCCCACCAGCATCTGCAAGCTCATCTCAGAGTCTGCTTCTCCCGTCGCCCAAGCCACATGGGCAACTCGTGGCTACTAAGACCCAGTTTTCTCCATAGCTGCTAAATTAACTAAGACTCGAATTTTCAAAGAAAATTCCTGAAAACCATGGCATCCAATGAATACGCATTTCAATTCAAGTCACTTTCTCACACGTGTATAAAACCTTCACAATTTTAGAGGAAAACAGATTTCAAAACCAAACACCGAAGTTTGGGGGGTGGGGGGAGATAAAGCAGAGAAGCTGTTACATAAACTGTTGGCGCCAACAGGTGCGCGTGAGGAGCTGCTGCAGCACAGGAAGACTGGCCTTAGGCGCTGCGTCCAGGCTGGGTCAGGGCAAGGCAGGGTGGCCTCTCCTCTCGGCCCTTCCTTTATCCTTCCAGGCCCCTCCTTTCTTTCCTGGCTCTCTTCTTCCTTCACTTCCTTTGCCTCTTTCCTTCCCAGCCTCCTCCCTACCGGTCTCTGTTCTGCCTGCTCCGCTGTCCTCTCTGTCTCCTCCCAGGGCGCTCCAGGTTTCACACCAGAGGAGCAGCGATCCTGGGAGCAGGAGGGACGGGATGGGTGCTCCGGGCTTGCCAGGGCATCAGCCCTGGGCTCCAGTTAGAGAGGAAAAGGGTCAAATCAGGCTGCAGTAGGAGGCTGGAAGGACAAGGTCGGTGGGGGAGGCCCAGGGGCAGAGCAGAATCTAGGTCCATTTCTCCCACTTCAGGAGCCATGTCAGGCCCTGGGGATGCAGAGTGAAAGGGCAGAATCTCAGCTTCCCACACTCTGAGTTGTGGAAAAGTGGGCAGAGGGCCCCGAGAGCAAAGAAAAGGAAGCGGTGGGGTGTTTCTCAGAGACTCTTGCAGGAGGCACTGGGAGAAGCTGCAAAGCCATTGGGTGGGCGGAGGGGGGGGGGGTGGGGGGGGGGGGGGGGTGGGGGATGGCTCAGCTGGGGGCTGCATGGCTCCCCCTGGACACAGGGTGAGAGAAAGCAGGGGCGAGGGTTGGAACTGGAGCCCTCAGCTCACAGAAGGTCTTCGATGCTGTGCATGGGGGTCTGGAATTCACCCTTTGGTGTGAAGTCCATAACCAATTTTATTTTATTGCTTGATTGGTTGTTTATTTTTATTTCCTTACATCACTGTTCACTTTTGCACACTATTTGATTTCTCTGCTTAGGTGTTGTCCCCACGGTTCTCCCACCACCACAGCCCCATGACCATCACCACAGTCCCTTGTGCTCTTCCCGTCCCTGTTTCGACCCCCCTCCCTCCCCCTCCCCTGCTGTGTGCCCCAGAGCAACGGTTTTCCTGAGAGTTTTGTCTTTTTCCGTACCCTTTGTTCGGTTTCCCTCTATTCCGCCTATAAGTGAAACACTCACTTTTCTGTTAATAGGATTGCATTTTTATTTTGAAAAGATCATTCTGGAACCAGAATAGAGGGCAGATGGGTAGGGATGGGGTGGGGAAGCCAGCTAGGGTTACTGCAGCGCATCCTCAGGCACAGGGTGGAGAGGGGAGACCCTGGGAGGCAGACAGGTGAGTGGGAAGGGGTCTGGGGACGAGGTCGAGGAAGGCTGAGAGAACTGGGAAGCAGACTGGGCACGGTGGTGACGGAGGGCTGGCAGCCGCTCCTCCCTGGGCCTCTCACACACCTAAAAGTCTCAGAACACCGAGGCTGTGGCTTCAAGGCTCTCCCTGCTCTTGCTTGGGCTGCATTTGCAGCAAAGCACCATGAGGGGCAAGGTCAGCCCGGCTTTGGGCCCGGAGCTGGCTTGTTGACGCTGACTGTAGAGGCAGTGGCGCTGCGGGTTCGTGCCTCCTCGGATGTGAGGCGAACCCTCTCTGTGTGGTCTGTTTATCTGGGCACCCCTCCTGCGGGAGGAAACAGGCCAGGAGAACCCACCAAACCAGACGCCCCTGTAGCTGCTGCACGCGAGTAACACAGGGCTTTGCCTCTGACCCAGGAATCTCGTGTGATTTTTTTTTAAAGATGTATTTATTTATGCATACAAGAACTGGGGCACAGGCCAGAGGTGGGGGTGGTGAGAGGATTCACCAGAGACAGGGCGGGGAGCAGAACAGACAGATTGACTGAAATACACTGCTGAGGGGAGCAGCGGGGAGACAGGAGAGGTCTGCTGTGCCCTGTGGGTAGCTCCCTGGCTGGGGATCAAACTCGTGGTGCAGTGGCTGTGGACAGCCTCACAGTGATGCATCTTAACCCCTTGCACCACCACGGAGGCCTGGAATCTCGGGTTTTTACTGTAAACAGCAGTGTCTCCATGCCGCAAGCAGCAGGCTAAGTTCCTCGCTTATGCAAACTTCTGGCCTATACCCCAGCTCTTTCATGCACAAATAAACAAAATTAATCTTTAAAAAAATAAAATAAAATAGCTCTGGTCACTTACCTGGTCATTCAAAAGCTGATGGTTGAGGGGTGTCCAGGTACTCATCTTCGTCTGCATTTTGGGGCCATCTATGCTTTTTGGAGGTGCAAATGCCATTGCGAAATAACTGGATATTCTTCTAAAAGAGAAACTACCGATCAGAAGAAATGAATGATACAGTCTTCAGAATATGACAAATATGAATATGGCGGAATCTTTTGGGAGAGGGTGTGGGTGGGGGAGGCAGCAGTTTGCAAGAAATTTTATACGCCAGGCACTTTCTGTAAATGCTCTATTAAAGCTCATATATAATGTTATCATGCAATGGGACTTCAGCAAAAACTTTTTTTTAAGGAAAGAGATGATTTCAGCGCAGTATGATGAACCGGCAGCTATAACACATGTGCGCAGGCAAATTAGAAATTCAAAGCAGGGTCACTTGAGTCTAGACCAGCGCAGCTTAAAAGTAGATATTTCTCTTTTTTTTATTGTTTGTTTACAGTTGACCTTTCTTCTCTCAACCAGTTGATTTTAATCTTTTCTCTTTTTTAGGGTCACAAAGCTCCTTGCAAAGACAATGAAAGCTACGCATCTTCTCCCTAGAAAAATGCACATACACATAAAATTTTGCATACTCCAGGTTAAAAATTCCTGCTGTAAGCTGAAAAGCTCTTCCCCACCCCACTTTGCATAGGAAACAATCTGATTCTAGGCAAAATTTCTAAATTAGGACAACGCAGCTTTTCGAGGGGACTCCCCGAGGCCTGCCCTGATGGTTTCCTTTCTCCTGGCTCCTTTGAGCTAGACATTATTTGAATTAGGCTTTTTCCAAATCACCTTGAGGAAAGTTTGGCTTTCGGGAGATGATGCCAGCCTGGAGAATAGCCCTCTTGGTAGCACAGTCCTGCCAAGCATGTGATGGCGCCCTGCCCTGTCTTTTGTCATCATCCCCGCGCAATTCCCCTCGCTCCTCCATTCCGGAAGATGGGCAGTGGGCGTCTGGGGGCGCACTCACGCTCGTGGTGCAGACCACTCGCAGCTGGTACAAAGACAGGCCTGTCACTCCTACCTAACACGCAGAGAAAACAATTGTCCTCGCTCCACCAATAAGGCAGAGCACATGGTCTCCCTCCTTCCACAGAGGAGACTTGCCTGTGCTTTCTGGTGTCCCCTGAATGGCTGTCTTTGAATGCTCATCGTTAACGTTTTTTGGGATAAAAGTCTCTGGGGTCCTCGTCCTCAATGCATGGCTCCAGTTCCATGTGCAATAGTAAGGATGGGGTCTCTGGTAAAGTTCCAGGGACCCTCAAACCTCCAAGCCTACCCTCAAGCCATTCTTCACACTGTGCCCATGACTCAGGTTCCCAAGGACCCACAGGGCCCGCATCCAAGGTACAAAGCAGGAGACTCTGCTTTTGTGGAGCTTAAATCTACTGTTTACTATTTTTTGTTGCGAGAGGGATTTTTTTGTTGACAAATCAAAATAGTACATATTTAAGGCACACATGGTTTTGATGTATGTATACATTGTGAAATTATTACCATAATTCAACTATTTAATACAGTCATCATCTCCCATAGTTGCCATTTTTTTGGTGTGTCCGGAGAGAACACTTGAGATCCACTCTTTTTGCAAATTTCAAGTATGTAATACATTATTATGAAGTCCGCATCCCATGCTGAACATCAGTTCTCCAGAATGTAGTCATCTGGCAAATGAAAATTGGTACATAACCCTTGACTACTATCTCCCCTTCCACCCACACCCAACCCCAGGTAGCCACCCATCTACTTGGGGAGTATTTTTATTTTATTTTATTTTATTTTATTTTTAGTCTTTTTAAAAAATAAATTTTATTTTTATATTCCCCATACAATTGCAGCCCCCTTATTTTGACCCCAATCCCTCCCCTCCCCACCCCCCATCCCCCTACTTGGGGAGTATTTTTATTTTTTTTTTATTTTTTTTTTTTTTAAAGATTTATTTATCTATCTATTTATACAAGCACTGGGCACAGTCAGAAATGCGGGAGGTGAGAGAATTCACCAGAGCCAGAGCGGGGAGCAGAGCAGGCAGAAGGACCGAAATACACTGCTGAGGGCAGCAGCGGGCGGCAGGGGAGGTCTGTGCACCATGTGGGACCCTCCTCCAGTGGCCGGGGAGCAGCCGGGGATCGAACCGGCGCCGCAGAGGCTATGGGCAGCTTCGCAACCCAGCGCTCAACCGCTGCGCCACCGGGGAGGCCCTGGGGAGTATTTTTAAAGGAACAGTTAATAGTGTCCCTTTCAGTTCAAAAATCTTCAGAAACTCCCTAATGGCTACAGAATCCAACCTCCTTCCTGCAAGTCGAGGTTCACATGAATTTACCTCCACCCACCCTTGCAGCCCCCCCTCTTTTCTTCCTCTCTCTGCCCAGACACGCAGAACTTCCCATCACTTAATAAACAAGGTACACGATGCTGTAGCTTCTTTGCCGAGATGTTTTTCTGAGTCTGAGTCTGCTGCCAGTCCTCCATCTCAGTGGTACATAATAGACACTCAATAAATATTATATCAACTGAGTGAATGAATGAATACAACGGGGTGGGGGGGGTTAAAATTTAAAATGCAGAAACGTAGCGTGAAACTCAGAACACTATGGATGGGGCACTGGGATCATACTCAGGCTTATGGAACTTTTACTGGACGTTTACAGAGGAGAATAGGATTTTGCTTCTCTGATAACACACAACTCACCCATGGGTCACTGCAGCGTCCTCAGACAAGACCACCTCAGCTGTTATCAGAAATGATCAGGAAATTGAATATGGTTAGATTTACACACGAATTCGTCTTGTACCCAGCTACTTGGAAAGAAAGCAAACACCATAATACAAAGCGAAGAGCCCTGGCCTGCTCAGACAATGAAGTGTTGGCTGGGAATTCCATAAACATGAAGCTTCAGGAGCTTCAACTGCATCTGGAAGGGGAGAGCAAAAGGTCACCCCCAAAGCACTGACGGCTGGTGAGCAGCCCAAGAAGCCCTGTGGGGGAGCTGTCCAAAAAGGACTGCCCTGGTCCTCATGCCCTCCCACTGCCCTCACCTCTTTCTGCTCGTCCTGTTCCTCTGCTCCAGCCTCGCGCGCCGGTGTTGCCATAGATGCTCTTTCTCTGACTCGGTCCAGCCCCCACCCCGAGCGCAGAGGCCCAATCATCACGTATAAATCCTCCCCCTGGCATCCGGGGTCTCTCAGGCAACAATGTGTGGTCTCTTGATTGGCCAGGACAGAGCCAGGAGGGCTGGCTCCAAAATTGGGCACACGGAGAGATCTAAGCGGTGTGCGCGCCCAGGCGGTGGGAGGGCCGCAGCCCCCCAACACAAGGCTGGGGTGAAGGGCGTCCACCCCACAGCGAGCAGCACGAACCCTCCCAGGCAGACACCTCCGTGTTTCAGCTCAGCCTCAGCTACGAGCAGGCCCGAGCTCCGCACGCTGGTCACTCCGGGGCTCCGAAGTGCCAGCTCCACTTTTCCAGGTTTTAAGAGTGGCCGACAGGTAAAAGGCCCGGAGGGAAGGGTTGGACGCCCAGGTGGGAGAGAGAAGGCACCTGGGCAGGAAGTGGGAGGACGAGGGAAATTGCCCAACACACAAGCTCACAAATGCCTCAACGTGGATTTTAATTTATGGATCGAGGCTTTCGGGCTGACTGACAGGTACAGCCGCGAGCCAGCAGGTGGCATGCATTAATAAGAAGAACTCCAGCTTGGGGAGACTTTACAGTCCAGCCTGATTTAATTAATTTAGACCTGTACTGTCCCCTCTCTGGTGGTCCCCGAGGTAGCAAGGGTCGGAGTGAGAATCCGAGGATAAAAACGAAGTTTGATAAAAAAGAGGGGGAAATAGGATGGAATTTGAAAGGAGGGCCCTCCGCGCCACTGCGTGATAGACTCCAAACCCGTGCTGGAGAGGACCAAACAATTCGAAATTCCAGAATGCAGCTTCCTTGGTAAAGGCAAAGCAGTTCTTTTGGGCGACACCATCAACAAATAACAAACAACCCAGGCTGCCCCCTGTGTTTCTTAAAATCGGTAGGAATATCCCTCCATCCAACAAAGGGAAGCCCTGTGTCTGCAGACTTTTTGAAATAGGCAGCATTTGTGTATCTCCAGTCTAGAAAGAAAAGTGAAGTTAGTGGAGATTGTTGCTTTCTTTGTGTTAACAAAGGGCTGTCGGCCTGGCCAAGCTGAAATTGGAACCAAGGTTGTCAGAGCCAACCTAGTGTTTTCCCAGACGATCAGGTTGTAGGTAAATGAATCAACACAGGGGCGGGGGTGGCACCTCGGGGAGCTGCTAGATGTAATAGTAAATTAGCGGGCATGACCAGCTAACATTTGTGCTTTCAAAACGGGTTCATCCAGAAAGAGACCAGTTTTAACAAGGGGTGGGGGGTGCCTCTGCGCTCTGTGAAGTTCCTGCTCATTAAAGACTCTATTGGTGGTTGCAACACGGAATGAAAGAGAACCTGGTAAAAGAGCATCTCACTCCATCCCTGTGGGATGTGAATATTCTCATCCTTGAAAATAAGGTTCCTGGTGTCTGTCCTCTGGGCCAGCACCCTCTAGGCCTTCCCTTGACCGCCTCTCTCCCCGCCACCATGCAAGTAATTCCTAGTGGGCACACCAGTTGGTGTCCACAGGACTTCAGCGTTATTTTTAACTGAAAACTTCCAAACCTAAGGAGAAGTTTAGAGAATTGCTTAAGGAACACCACTGTATCCCGGAGAATTTTAAGAGCATCAACGTCCTGCTTCGTGTGTGGTAACAGTAGAAGCTCTTGCACATTTCCCAAATCTAGCTACACACCAGGTTCAGGACGACACCTCGAGGCAAGCAGCCTCGAGGTGTCGTCCTGAACCTGGTGTGTAGCCTACTGGTACATTTTTTTTTTAAAGATTTATTTATTTATTTATTCATACAAGCACTGAGTACAGTCAGAAGCGCGGGAGGGCGAGAGAATTCACCAGAGCCAGAGCGGGAAGCAGAACAGGCAGAGTGAGGAAGTACACTGCTGAGAGGAGCAGCGGGTGGCAGGAGAGGTCTGGGTGGCAGGAGAGGTCTGCGCACCATGTGGGACCCTGACCCGGCAGCCGGGGATTGAACCGGTGCTTCAGAGGCTGCGAGCAGCTTCGCAACCCAGCGCTCAACCGCTGCGCCACCGAGGAGGCCCCTTACTGGTACATTTTTAATGTTTATTCTATATTGCATACATGTTTATTCTATATTGCATACATGTTTGCCCTCTTCACCGTATGTACTATGGCTCAGTGGTTTTAAAGAGCTGTTGCCATTTACATCTCTTGTGGTTAGCTCCTGCCCCTCTTGGATATTTCTGGGATTTCATGTGGCTCCCCCAGGGGATCAATTCTGTGGTGTTCCCACTTCCCCACGTGGGCTGTATGTTCTGTGTCTGACAGTTTTGAGGATGGTGTGCATACAAATGCTCCTGGAGGCACATCTCCAGAGGTTCCACTTTTAAGGGATGGAAACATCCACAAAGCAACTTCTGTGCTCACAGCGACTCCTGTGCGCCGAGGCCCACACACAGCAGCCGTCCAGCACAGGACGTGGAGGTTTGCTGAGAGTCATCCTGAGGGTCAATGTTACTTACAAAAACAATCTGACCGCACAGGTCGTTATTGAAGAAAACTGAAAATGCCTCTTCACATCTCATGACGCTTTTCCCCATGGCTCACCTTCTGACATGAAAGTGTATCTGCGGCTCTCCAGACGCAACACGCAGTATTTGCTGAAGGTTTATTGAGGCCTTTTAAAATCGTGGTAAAATACACATAACAAAATTTACCATCTTTACCATTTTTAAGTGTTAAGTACAGTCACATCGTTGTGCCACAGAACAGAATGATACCTGCGAAGCCTAAGTTTAGAAGAGAAGGAGGCGGAGCAGAAGGAAGGTAGGAGAAGCAGCGTGTCCAGAAGGGCCGCGGCGCTGTCCTGTAACCACGCGCGCGCGGCGTGGGGACGTGATGGACACTTTCTTCTCCCGAGGGAGAGCGTGGCCTTAGATGATCTCTAAGACCTGGTCCAACTGTTCCAGAGATTGTGTAGGTAGAAAAAGGGGGGGCAACATTTCCCAGGGCGCAAAAGCCGGAGACGCCAGCCATGAGCACCAGCCCCACCTGCCCAGAGGGCCGTGGCCGAGGGCGCGCTGGCCCGGGCAGTGTCCTCCTGCGCTGTCATTTCAGCCCCGAGCGCGCGCCGGGCGGCTGCACCGGGGCGCCCGGTGACCCGCGTCCAGGCCCCGCCAAACCCAGGCCCCGGGGCCGGCGGACTCGTCTTCAGAGCGGTTTGGGGGCGTCTTGGCATCAGCGCGCCGGGCGTGGGTCCCCGGGTCTCGGCCAGGCGCGGCGGGAGGCGCCGCGCGCGGGCGGGCGGGGTGCGGCGCGGGGTCCCCGGGGCGGCGGGCGGGGGTGCGGCGATGGCGCCTGCGCCGTGCGTGCGCGCGCTGTCGGGGCCGCGCCGGGGCTCGCGGGGCGCGCGGTCTCGGAGGCGCGCGCCGGCGGTCCTGCTCGCCCCGCGGACCCGAGGGACCCGCGGCCGCCCGCGTCGGCGCTGCTGCCCGGAGCCCGGCCCGCGGCGGAGGTGAGCCCGGCGGGGGCCCGCCCGGGGCGCGGGGAGGGGGGCCCGGGGGCGCGGGGCGGCCCCCCGCGCGGCTGCCGAGGAGCCCCCGGCCGCCCGCACCCCTCCTCCGGGATCGTTCCTCGCGTCGCGGCCAAAACAAAAGCCTGGGGCGCCGGGCGGCGGCGGGGCGCCGGGGTGGGGGCGCGGGCGGCGGGCCGGGGGCGGCCGGGGGGGGGCCGGGGGCGGCGGGGCCGATGCCCGCTGCCCGGGGGCGCCCAGGGGAGACCCGCGGAGTACGGCGGCGCTCAGGTGGCCCTCCGCGGGAGCCCGGGGTGCTCAGGGAGATCGGGGGCGCCGGAGGGAGACCAGGGAGCGCTCGGGGGGCGCCCAGAGGAGTCTAGTGGGGAGTCCAGAGGAATCCCAGCGGGAGCCCAGGGGGAGCCCCGGCGGCCCCCGCCGGCGCCGGGCAACCTGTGCGAGTGGGGCGCGTGGGGCGCGCGGCGCCCTGGCCGGGGCGCCTGGCCCCGGGGACCGCGGCGGCTGCGCGCTCGGGGGCTGCGCCTCGGGTGGGGGGCGCTCCCCGGGCGCCCCGGGCGGAGATGGGGCTGGGCGCGCCCGGGGCCCGCGGGAGCCGGCACCCCCTCTGCGGGCCTCAGGCGGCCCCGCAGGACCTCTCGCCGCCCGGCCCCTGGAAGTTGTCCCCTGCGCCCCATCAGTTTTGCAAAGTGGTGGCTCCCCGGCGAGGCGCCCTCTTCGCCTCGGCCCGTGGGCCCCCGTCCTGCTAGTAATTCCTAGAGGCCTCGGAAATAAAGGGGTTCTTCGCATCTTTCCAGACGCTTAAACCCCTTCCTGGAGGCGTCTTCAGTCTCCGGAGTCTTGGGTTTAGGCGCTTCCTTTGGAAGAGAAAGAAAGGGATTTTTTTTTTTCTTTGAGAACAAAGCGTGTGCCATTGATTTGGGCTTCGGAGCAGAGTTAACTTGATAAATATCTGCTCCTCTAAAAGAGGCCCGCGGTCCGCATGCTTGTGGGGTCCCTGCTGAATGGAGGCAGGTGCAGCCCCGCCAGCCAGCCCTGCTGTAAATGCTGCCAAGGAAAAGCATCCACGCAAAATCTTCACGCTGGAGAAGTGCTTTGGATGGACCTGTGGTGTTTCTGCTCGGAAAATGGGCTACTTTGCAAAGCCAGTTCCACTCGAGCCAGGGAACAAAGACGCGGCTGATGACACTGGGGGTGCTTCCTCCGTCCCCAACCTTTTAGCCCCTGGTGCAGTGGTGACCAGCTGAGGAATAGGTAAATCCTTAGCTCTGTTGCTAAACAGGGTCACTAAGATAATGCTTGCCATCCCTCCTTTTCCGAGAATCAGTACTATCTTGTTCCTCCAGGGGAAAAAGCCTCTAGCAAACCCCAATGTAAAGGTAAAAAGATTCAGAGTTAGAACAGGAAAGAGATGGAACCGTTTTCCTGGGGGAAGAGAGACTTGGAAGGATAGAGCTGGGGATCAAATGTGTCTAAGACGCGTGCTTCCTTTTATTCAGCGAAATAA